TAAAGTCAGCATCGTCTGCTTGGATTTCCTTCTCTGCGACACGCGCAGCTGCAACATCCTCTCTGTCTTCCGCTTGTTCAAGCGCACGACCGACCCGTCGTTGATCGGTATTGGTGTCAGGGCCGCCAAGGACTCTATCCAAGGCAGCGTCTGCAGCATCCAATCCTTCGCTCTTCGTGTCAAGTTTGTCGCTGAGGACGTCCCGTACGGAGAGTTTGTTGAAGTAGTCGGTGGTGAACTCTCCTTCTTGAATGACCACATCATCCAGCATCTGCTTCTGCGAAGCTTTGCGAAGAATGTTGGCTTCAATTGTGTGTTCACTGACTAGACGGTAGATGTGTACATCACGAGTTTGTCCAATACGATGGCATCGATCTTGACATTGCTTGTCCATGGCGGGGTTCCAGTCTTGGTCGTAAAAGATGACGGTATCTGCACCTGTAAGATTGATGCCGAGACCGCCCGATCGAGTAGACAGGATGAAGCATAGAATTCGCGGGTCATTGTTGAATCGATCAGTGAGGATTTGCCGCTGTTCCACCTTGGTAGCACCATCCAGACGGAGGTACTTGTGACCGTGTATGTTCAAGAATTGTTCCAGAATGTCCAAGACCTTGGTCATCTGTGTAAAGATGAGGGCACGATGACCGCCAGTCTGAAGCTTTCGCAGCAGCTTGTCCAAAACTTGGAGCTTTCCACAGTCGTATTGTAACAGACGCTTATCGGGGAATTGAATGCTGAGTCGCATGCGCCCTTCATGCCAAGGATCGGGTGGTGCTTCTTTCGGTAGGAATGGCGCCCATCGAACGGGTTTCGAGAGTCTGAGGTCTTCGTCTGTAAATGCTTCAATTCCTTTGCGACCAAGCACAAATTGATCCATGTCTCTGGTCACAACGGCCGGTGTTACACATGAGAACTTCTCAATGATCGTCTTGAAGCTGTCGGCACGTTGATTGACAGTCGGTATCATTGACTGAATGAGCCTCGATTCCTCTTCAAACCAAGACATTACCATTCGAGGGACTTTAGGGCGGGGCTTGTATGGTCTCTTGTCGGTACCAATAGTTAATAACTCTACCAAGTTCTTGCCATAAATGGGCTTCTTCTGGCGGCGTAGGGCATTAAGATATACGCAATGTTGCAGCTCTTCAAAACGTCCCCATCTTGCACCACTTTCCAAGTATGCGATATTCGATGCGACTGTAGAAGGATCTAGGTGGTCGTTTGCTTGGTGTGCTCGGGTTCGTTGAGCCTCTTTAAGGTCCATTAATATTCGATGGGAGCTGAGTTGTGAGATTCGTTCGGCCTGTGTGGTGGAGAGAGATTCGGACTGAGTAGGAATGAGGTTGAGGAAGCTGAGGCTGACGTCTCTCATGGGCTTGGGATCAAGAAGTAGCTTCTGGACCCTTTGTTCGATAAAGTCATAGTCTGAGACGACAGACTTGCTCATTCGGAAGGATGTCATAATTGGTCGGTCAACGAAGAGATCTGGGTGATTGCAGACCTTTCGCAGCTGCATGAGACAGTTGATGATGGACAGATAATTGCCAGAGTTGAGTGTCTCTTTGGTGTCGTTCCGTGAGAGGAACCCATCGTAGAGCTCACGTTGTCGCTTGGAGAGTCGGCAAAACTCAACGTGCTCATACTTGGCAGGCATTTGCTTTTCAACGTCGGCTTTCAATCGTCGCAGTAGATAGGGTCGCAGAACTTTGTGTAGCTTCGAGATGATAGCTCGTGCCTCATCGTCCATCTGTTCTCTTCCACTCTCGAGAATTTGTGACTCAGGCTTTGAGAACCAATCGTGAAACTCTTGTAGGTCGGCGAAACCACCAACGCCATTCTCAGCCGGCATGAGGAAGAAGAGGAGCGACCAAAGTTCTGTGAGGTTATTCTGGAGGGGTGTGCCTGTAAGTAGCAGCCTGGCTTGAGTATTGAAGCCAAGTAGCGTCTGCCATCTTTGAGATTTGAAGTTCTTGATGTTGTGTGCTTCGTCAAGGATCATGTAGTGCCAGCGACGTCGCTTGAACACTTGTTGATCTTGAAGAACAAGCTGATATGAGGTGATACAAACATTCCACACATCATCATTGTTCCAGCCTTGTCGCTTGCGTTTTCGTTCCTCTTGAGATCCGTAGTATGCCAAAATTTTAAAGCCAGGACACCATTTCTTGAACTCCATTTCCCAATTGAGCATGACACTGGTAGGGACCACAACAAGATGCGGTCCCCATACCTCGTGTTCACATGCTAGATGTGCAAGAAGAGCGATGGTCTGAATCGTCTTGCCAAGACCCATTTCATCGGCAAGAATACCGTTGGTGCTGTTGGCGTAAAGACCTGCCAGCCAGTCAAGTCCATCGCGTTGATACTCTCGTAGTGTGCCTCTAAGAAGAAATGGTACATCGATTTTGTGGTTTGATGCTTGCTGTGGTGAATCAGATCGACTTGGTCCAGTTTTGTCTACCGCCATCATCTCCCCAGAAGAAGCCGTGTCCAGCTCAGATGGCTTGGTTTCTGATGTAGGAGGGGGAGACATACTATGTGCGCGACTGGGAGGATTAGTAGGTTGCTCTGATGCTAATCTGCGGTTTTCCGAGGGCAGAGTTGGCGCGGCTTCTTGTTCCTCAGGTTCTGTCATGACAACCTCAGTGTCTTGTGGCATGGAGCCCTCCGCCGGGGTCTCGATGACGGCATCGCCATCGACCGGGACATCCTCAGCCGCGCCAGGTGCATTAGTCTCTGGAGTCGGTGTTGGGGTCTTCTTTGCAATATCGGTGCCTTCAGTTTCTGCCACTTCGGGCTTCTCAACAGAAGAACCCTCATCTTGAACCTCACCATTGACCTTTGGCTCTTCTGCATCAGCCATCTCAGTATCCCCATTCTCGGTTGGCCCCTCTGTCGCAGCTTCATCATTCATCTTCTTCAGCTCCGACTTGCCGAAAAGAAGTCCCAGCAGGCCACCTCCAGCATCTTCATCAGACTCTTCTTCCGATTCATCATCTCCCTCCTCATCACTATCCATATCGGTGGACCCCATATCGTCATCCATATCAACAGACTCGTCACTCGTGTCGGCATTTTCTGTCGCGGTTGCTTGGGCAGTATCGACTGCATCAGTGTCATCCCGGCTTTGTTCGGTGATCGGTGTTTCCGCGTCCGGCTTTTCGAGTTCTGGTATATGGGCATACTTTGCTCGCAGCTGTTCTTGTGTCAAGTTCTCATCACCAACATCCTTCAAATCCTCCTCTTCGTCACCCTCTTCCTCATCTGATGACATTATATCGCTGTCGGGGTCGTCCTCGTTATCTCCATCTTCTCCCGATGCCAAGTCAAGGTCATCGTCGTCGTCCATGCTCATGTCGTCGCTAAGATCATCGAATCCATCCTCTTCCTCTTCCGAAAGCTGCTCAGAGTCCAATCCTGCTCTCCGGGCTTGCAATTTTTGTTCAGAGAGGTTGACAGCTTCATTCAAAGCTGCCTTGACTCTCTTCTGCTCTTCTTGTTCCCATTCGGCCAACCTTCGACGATTGACTTCAATACGAACATTCTCCCATGTACCGAAAAGTGCCTTTACCACCACACGATATCGAGAAATCCATATTGCCCTTTGTTCTGCTTCGATCTCTTCTTCTGACTTTGGTTGGCGCCGTAGCCACTCGTCTCGACAGGCCTCTGCCACTTTTTTCGCGGTCAATCGATGCCGTTGTTGTTCAGCCAGCATCAGTTTTCGAAAGTTCATCATAGCCTTCACCATGTGGTCTTGTCGGGCCCATTGCCTGGGCGGCTCTTCCTCTGCTTCCGGGAGGAATACTGAACAGCGCCCCTGGGAGAGTAGCCCGCCAGGTTCGACTTCTTGTTCAATTCGAAGAATGGTGCGCGCGTCCTTGACGGCCATTTCATCAGTGTAAGGAGGGCCATCTTCAGACGCAAGAAGTCCACCGTCCTCAACAGGGATGTCACCAGCTCGAGCCCAAAAGTCTTCAAAGTCCGTACTAATCTTGGGTTTCTTTCGGACTTGATCAGGATGCACTAGAGGAATATCGCCAGATCGTCCGACTCGTAACTTAATGCGGGGCGATCGATTGGTAACATTTTTCGGTTCTTGAATGTCGTCTTTAACATCGCTAAATCGTGCGGATCTTCTTGATCTAGTCGAGGCTTTTGGAGAAGGGCTTCGACGTCGGGTGGAACGGGAGGGTCGGGTTTCTGTAGGTTTTTTTGAAGATTTTGGAGTCGACGCGGGTGTTTGCTTCGAGGGAGCTTTGGTGGCGGGGCTAGCTTTGTGTGAGCCGTTGGGCATCTTTCTCGAGTTGCCATTAGTCAACTGAATTTCTGCCTTTGGTTTGGAAGCATTGGAATTTGCGCCAGATCGTCTCGTGCTTCGAGTTTTTGTACTTGTTTCGGCTGGGAGTGTATTGATGCGGCCCGATTTTCGACGTCCATTTTCCGTGAATGACGTTGGGCCGTCAGCAGATATCTTCTTCCACGGTGGCGACTCGGGCTTGATCTTTTTTGGCGTACGTGGAGGTGTCGATTCTCGTGTGCGTCGTCTTTTTGCAGGTCGTTCATCGTCATGGACATGACCGTTTGGCTGTGATTCTGGTGCATCACCGTTCGTCTCATCGTGACCATTAGTCATCCCGTTCAACGCGTCATCACCATTGGCATGCGCCTCGGGCGCGTTCTCGTCCTTGATGGCATCAGGGTCCGACTTGGGCTGCACGTTGGCGGGCGACGCGGTCTCGGGCATAGTCGCAACGTGGAGACAGTGGACGCAGGGGGCGTTTTCTCTGCGAAGCTATCATTTGCGGGGTCGAAATTAATGTCTACAGAATAGTAGCGCTTCAGCGGATATTCATACAAATTCTGCACATGTTCAGATGCCTTGCGGGCGAACTGTGTGGAATTTAGTGGTAAAATCCAATGTCGTCAGCAAAACTTTTGAGCTGGGGAAGAATCGAAGATGCACGCCCCTGGACGTCCAAATGAGCTAACCGAAAATGGCCCGAACGCGCCTGTAGATGCCTGAGGCCTAATTTTTGGTTGAGAATCATCACAGCCTCCATTGGCTAAAGCTTCAACGAGCATCACATCACGTCACAGAGCAATTGGTCGCCGCGACACTGTCACTCGGCCGAGGTATGTTGTCGGGAGGATCCCTTACATGCCTAATTGATCGATAATGGTCGCTAACTTCTCAGATGCTCCCTCAACGAATTGTGCGGGCCTCGGCCCTGCGCAGCACCATGACGGCTGCTCGACGACTTCCCACGATCCAACGCCGAACCTTCCTCCCCGATCAGTACACGGACAAGAAGGTCATTGACCAGAAGTACCCCGACCCTCCCAGCTTGAGCGAGGCCGAGGACCCCGGAATGGTCAGTGATGAGGGATGTGAGGAGGAGCGAAGCTGATAATCTCGCAGAACGGCGGCTACATCAACCCTCCCCGAATCAAGCGACAGTTCCGTGACCCTCATGCGGGCTGGTGGGATCCTCAGGAGCGACGAAACTTTGGTGAACCCATTCACGAGGATAACGATGTTCTTGGAATCTTTTCTCCCTGGGAGTACACCTGGACTACCGCTGGTCCTGGTGCTGTCATGGTCGGAACTTTTATCGCCGTTTTCCTGAGCGTTACCGGAGTTGTCTACCTCAACTATCCCGATCGACCTGCTTATCCCCGAGAGTTTGAAGGTGGTCTGGAACGAGAGCTTGGTGGCCCTGGAGCTACAAGGGTGAGTGGTCAGGGATATTGGATATTCGTATGCTAACAGTTGTAGGCTCGCATGGAGGGTGATGAGGAACCTTGAGAAAATACTCATTTGTACATAAGAAAGCATGGTTCAATGGATTAAGTTCAATGGATGTTAGAACTGTGTACCAGCAATTGATTGAGACGAACTGACATGATGTGGCTAACAAATTGCTTGACTGTGTAAGTAGTTTGTGACACGTACTTGGTGTAATCAGAGGCCAATGAATGATTGCAGTTAATTCCTAATTGCTATTTGCCCAAAGAGTACCTATCCCAAACGTTCAGCTTGCAATGAGTCAAACTACACCAGTGTCTTGTCCTTATGGTGCCTTTGCTCCTAAAGCCTGCCACGGTCCCTAGAATCAGCCCTATGGACCACGTTTAGTCCCTAAAATTGGCCAAACAGGCTCCTCGTCACCTTCCTACAAACATCCATCGCATAACATCTCAGGCAAGAGCAAAGACAAGCCGTCATGTCGTCAATAACATCTCCTCCAACTCTCATCCATCACTTCTACTCCCCCATATCATCCATCCCATCAAGATGCGGTACGAGGATTGGGATGTCCTTCTTTTCGAGGAGGGCTCTAGTATTCCCTCTCGGGAATTTAAAGTGGCATGTCATGTCGTTCAACATGCGGGTAAGTCGATGTTTGGAGTGTACCAAAGGCCAAGCTAATCATCACAGAGTCCATGGGTTCTGCTCTTCCAACCCTCACGTGTTTTGTCCCTGGCCTCAACGCAGGAGTTCCCTTTCGTCTGTCTATCCACTCTTGGAAAGCATTAAAGGATTTAAATGATGATCATATCCTCAATATTAGCAATTCGGTCCTTGAAACCAGGCTCTTCATCGATGGATCTCTTGTTGCGTATGTTTCCCATTTGGCTGCTGGCGTGATGCTAATATTGGTAGATCTACGTCCTCCACTGGCAGCATTCGCTTCCCGTTGATCATAGATAGACAAGGTCACGAGAGCCTCAAGTTCCCCATCTTCCAGCAGCAACTGCTCTATCAACGTCACTGGAGCCCAGCCGACAACCTCGGCCGTATCAAACTCCTCATCAACCAAAGCTTCTCCAGTGCTTCGCCGAGCGTTCTGTTCACGGGCACTGTCAACAAGACAGTTGTGTTTTCCTTTCAACATGCACCACAGCACATTTTAGAAAGCCTTCAGATAGCCTGGCCCAATCCAGCCATGTGGTCTCGTCAACGCCAACCTTCTGTACCAGCTTCTACAGATACTTCCCATGTCACCTCACGTCCACCACTTTTTGCGCGTCGTGGACAACCGGGCCCGGAACATATTGATGATGCCTCTCTTCGAACGCTGCCATTATCTGGTAACCCTACTTTTGGATGCCCAAATACTCCAGTGAACGGGCCAAGGTCACCATGGAGCTACGTTCTCGTCCCGCCGGGAAGAGAAGGATCACCATATCCGTTGGCTTCCGAGGTGCAGCCTCACAGAAACCACGAACGAGCATGGCCGATTTCTCCAGTTTTCACTGACGCCATGTTGAGGGTGGATCAGACCCAGAATGCATCGCAACAGTACCCCCAGCCGAACAGCGCTCCGATGTCATTTGTACAACCTCAGCTACATAGTCCTGCGATTCAAGGGTCGACCGAATTCGGCCGAGGAACCCCAAGAAATCCTGCCAGGCTTATCTTTGCGCCGAAACGCAACAGTCCACAGGAGTCTTTCAACTTGGATGTTGTTGAGAGGGCGACAAAGAGAGCTCGAGCCAACACTCCAGAGTCTGCAAAGACACTTAACCACGAACAGCAAAATATCAGCCCTCACTTTGACAGCCCTTACGAGTTCATAAACGTAGATGAGGATATCATTTGATCTTACAGGCGGCGGTCTCCTGTAGTCGATTACGGAACGCATCACATGGTATAGTAGGGGGGTTTGTTATCTCACTGTTTCCGACATTGTTTTCTTGTCCTACATGTAGCATCAACCCATGTTTTATCACATATCAACTTTGTTGTCTAGCTGGTTAGATGCACAAGCTTAGTTGGACCTTGACAGGCAGTCGTTAATACAACACGCGATGATTCATCAGTTTCGCGAATGTTCCGGGCATCCGTCTTAATGCCTTGCATGTAAATGGCTTTACAGAAATATGAATGGCAGGCTACTAGCAGCTTATAACACCTTGTACGACAGTTGTAACACCAGTCTCGTCATGTTGACTCACTCAACGTGCAAGATTCGAGGTCGGTCATTCGACCTCCGCCCTCCGGCCCAAAGTTCATTCATTACAAAGCTGGGTAAATTCGGGCTCGGGGTTTATTGTAAGTCCGTATGCTGCGAAACCTCAGAAGTAGGGACCGTTCTGACCATCTTGTTCTCTTCCAAATGATCGAATTGGTTTGGTTAGGTCGCACAACTTCTCATCCTCAAGCCTCTTCTTATATCGTGTAGCCCATTTGCACCCAACATACAACGAAATTACTGCCGACCTGATACGATTCGTGGCTTTCATGTCGATCTATGCGAGTTTGTCAAAGGATCAATTGTTCACATAAGCATCCGCCTAGGCCATCGCGCGATTGAGATGAGATTGGCCACAATCATATCCCAAATATACGGGCTTACCCACGGCTGAAGCTGAACGGAGACTCCGATAGTTATCCAAGGCTTATAGACAATCCGAGCATCTCAAGCCTCACGGCTTCCGGCTTCCGCTAGGCCGCAATTTCTGGCCTGGAGGAGGAAATGCGCTACACGATCTTATCGTTCCACGCTTTCTCTTGGTCAAGGCCGCTGAAGTCATAGCAGGCCCCCATATGCATGGGCGGAATGCCACACCTTTGTGCCAGGCCACAACTGCAGGTGAAGATCTTTTGTCAAGTCCTGTTGCTGTAGTTTTCTCTGGCCCCCGAGGTGAGACGAAAAGTTCATCGACTCAGCATGAACTTCCTGAAAAGATTCCGTCGTGTTACCTTGCTCTGCAGGCTTCTCGTGGGTGGTTGATGAAGCTAAAAGGGCGTATCTTTCCGCATGCTGGGCTGTTGTTGTTCTGTTCACTTTCAACGGCGCTCGTTGACTCTTCAAGATGGCTTCTATTATGTCCGCCCCAGACTACTCTATGGCTGCGACGAGTCGTTCGCACCTGAGTGTACGTCTGCCAAAAGAAACGCTTTACTCATCTTTAAGGGAATCTTCTCGCTACTTTAACTTTGACTCGGAGACTGCCAAGCTTGCTCGGGATGCTGATGAGTGGCTTGCAACGCATCCCAACGGTTCGGGATCTAAGGAAAAAGATGTCAACGGTATAAGTCGACCTTCATCAATTGCCCCAAGCAACTTTAGTGTTCGATCTTTACCAGCAGACTACAGTATGCCAGAGTATCATGGCAGAGACTTTCCTCATCCTGTTATGGGCTCAGTGCGTCACAACGAGATTAGACCTCGATCCGCTGCTCCAACAGAGAGTACTGAGAAGCTTCGTTCATCGCCTCCCGTAGATGGTGCTGAGCCCACAGGGCCTGACCAAGAGTATCCCACTGGAGTGAAGCTCGCCCTGATCACCCTCGCTCTCTGTCTCGCCGTCTTTGTCATGGCCCTAGGTAAGTTCATCATCCCATCAGTGACCTCGCTCACACATCAGACAACTCCATCATTGCAACCGCAATTCCCAGAATCACCGATGCTTTCGAGAGTCTCAATGACGTGGGGTGGTACGGCTCAGCATACATGCTCACAACGGCCGCACTGCAGCTGTTCTTCGGTAAGCTGTATACCTACGGCAGCATCAAGTGGACCTTCCTGTCAGCCATTGCTATCTTTGAGGTCGGTAGCCTCATCTGCGGTGTCGCCCCCGACAGTGTCACCCTCATCGTGGGACGAGCTATCGCCGGCGTCGGTGGCGCTGGCATATTTGCTGGTGCACTCACCATCCTTGCCTTTTCGGTACCTCTTCATAAGAGACCTATCTATACTGGTCTTGTCAGCGGTATGTGGGGTATTTCCTCCGTTGCTGGGCCTCTGCTTGGTGGTCTCTTTACAGACAAGGTTTCATGGCGTTGGTGTTTCTACATCAACCTTCCCATCGGTGCCATCACCGTCGTTGTCATTCTCTTTTTCTTCCCCGAGCCCGAGCGTGATATCGAGCCTGCGACATGGCGCGTTCGCTTCTGGCAGCTTGATCCCATCGGGACTGGTATCTTCATGCCCGCCATCGTGTGTCTCTTGCTTGCTCTGCAATGGGGTGGTGTCGACTACGACTGGGATGACTCCGTCATCACATCCCTCTTCATGTTGGCTGCCTTTCTTCTCATCGTGTTTGTCTATGTGCAATACAAGATGGACGAGAACGCCACGGTGCCTCCTCGTATCTTCAAAAAGCGCACCGTCTGGGCTGGCGCCTTTTTCTCATTCAATACGGGCGCGTGTTTCCTCACAGCCATGTACTTCCTGCCAATTTGGTTCCAGGCCGTACAAGGACAAAGCCCCATCATGTCGGGCGTGAGAAATCTCCCCATGCTTCTCGGCATCGTTCTCTGTGCCATGGCCGCCGGTGCTGCCGTCACTGCCTGGGGCTACTACACGCCCTTCATGATCGCCGGCTCAGTTCTCATGGCCATCGGCTTCGGTATCATCACCACATTTGAAGTCGAAACATCAACGGCCAAATGGATAGGCTACCAGCTCATCGCCGGCATTGGCGTAGGCGTTGGACTCCAGCAATCTCTCATCGCCGTCCAAGTCGTCTGCGAAATGGTCGACGTCCCCACAGCCACAGCCCTCATCGTCTTTGCTCAAACCCTCGGCGGTGCGCTCTGCGTTACAGCTGGTAACACCGTCTTCACCAATACGCTCATCAACAAGATCAATGAGCATGTGCCCGGTCTTGACCCATACTTTGTCATTGCGACTGGTGCGACCAACATTCGCAGTGTGATTAGAGAGGAGTGGCTTGATGGAGTGATTCTCGCGTACAACGACGCGCTGACGACGAGTTTCTATGTTGGTGCTGGAACCGCGTCGGCGACGATCATTGGTGCGTTGTTGGTGGAGTGGAGGAGCGTCAAGGGTCATGAAATTGAGATGGGAGCGGCTTAGGTAATGCCTCTGAAGTGTCTTTGTCTGATGGTGATGCTTGATGTCGGTGAGGTGACGGGTAGAATAAAATGAGGTTGGTAGGGTAGACGATAGCAGAGCGTTCTTACGAATGATGATGATTTGTTGCGTCTTTAACTAAGTTTAACTGTTGTTGTTTACTGTTGCGTCTTGTCTGCCAAGATGTGCACTTGAACATTAAATTACCCTGCACCTTTAATTATTTCCGGTCTTTATTCTCAGGATTTATATAATCTCACAGGTCTTCTACTGCATTGTCCTTTATCCAAAATCGTGTGCTTGTAGTTCAAGTCATTGTTCCTGGTCTGGGTTGGAGTAGTCACGGACATGGTCACTCCCAATCTCAATTGATGTACATTGATATTCATTCGCTCTGAGATTGATTTGTAGTACATACATAATGAGAGCACAAAAATCCAGAAGCATCCGTAGATAGATTCACAAATAAAGAAGAAGAACCGCAAGTAAAAAGCTTCTAGTTCCTGGCAGTAACCTTTTATCTCATTTCATCATCATCAATTCAGGAATGTCGTCGCGATTAAGCTGTTTCCTTCCATCTTCAAAAATGCAAGCTCTTAAGCTTAAGTAAGTGGAGCCAATGAAATCTTGAGATGAATGCAGGGAGCTGCCGTTCCCGCGGGATATCATGTGACGCACCAAAAGCGAGCCGACGCAAATGTGGGGCGATATCGAAACTCAGATCCTCACTAAAACAACACAAAAATGCCTCACCAGCATAACAAACATCAAAAAGAATCAATCAGGGCTCCACCGGGGATTGAACCCGGGACCTCTCGCACCCAAAGCGAGAATCATACCGCTAGACCATGAAGCCGAATCGTAGTTATTATCAAGAGAGTTACAAATGAATAATATAATCGTAGTGTTGTAGCGAGGAAGAGTCTCCAGCCCCCACCACCTTCTGGCCGTCCACTCTCAGAAGTCTGTCAGCAGTTTCCCAGCCTCTCAATACACGTTCTCGTGCTTGTCAAGGTCTGTAATAGGAGGACCTCATCATGGTATCCCAACCTCACGAAACTTGAAAGCGAGCAGCACATCATAGCAAATTGTAACAAATGCACTTCTCACGTGGCCAGTCACATTCTGTCCTCTCGTTCCCATACATATTTGCTGTGCTGTGTGTCAGACGAGGCTTTCCGGGCTTTCGGAGCTCCCCCGCATCGCGAACACCGAGTGGGGCCGTAAGCAACTGGCCGCACTCAAATAGCACGGCATTATTATTAGGCGCAGGAATATAGAGTAAATGCGATGTATAAAAACCCCCCGTTAACTTAGAATCTATCGACAGCCAACAGTACGCGCTCTATAATCCCTGCATTTAGGAATGACCTAACCAACATGCATGTAACTCTAGCTTAGGGAAGGAAAGAAAACTCAATACCTTGACCCTAAGCGATAAAAATACTTAGGTAAATCTAGCCTAAACTTATGGCACTTTTAGCTAATCTAGTCTAAACTTAGAGGGCTGTTAGCTAAGTTTATTTTGACACCCTACATCAAGGTTTGGTGTTTTCTTGCCCCTGAGGCCTAGTCACCATTGAGCCAGCCAGCTCCCCTTGGAAGTCAGTTTACGCGCGCCCAGATTTTCTTGCTCAAAGTAGGGCGGGGAAGGATAGACGCAGTAAAACCCTCACAAACTGTATCTCAATACAAGCTCATGGGTTGGCCTGCTTGGTTCAGCATTCGCACTGCACAACTCACTTTTTACCTCATTCCACTTACTTAATGGATTCCACTGCAACCACAAAGGCCGAAGCGGATGCTCATCTGGAAACTCTTCGTCAAAAGAGGGGCGTTGGTAGAGAACAGCCAGAGGAGTCTGTTCTTGTACAAAGTCTAGACCAGGCACTTCAAATGCGTGTATCTTTGTCCAGGAGTATGTTGTCTTGCACTGACTACTTACCAAAGGCGTTTCAGATCAACTCTATAAAGCTTTAACCCATTTCATTCTCGAGTTAATCCAGAATATAGATGATAACCAGCATAATTCTGGAATTGTGCCCAGTCTGCGACTGTCACTGTACGATAATGGAGATCAGAGATGTTTCCGATCTGACCGTAACGTGGTTGGCTTCACTTTCAAGCAACTTGACTCTCTGACACGGGTTGGTCAAAGTCCTACATCGGTGAAAAGGGCATCGGATTAAAGTCCGTATTCGAGGTAGCTGATGTGGTCCACATTGCAAGTGGGTTTTACGAGTTCAAGCTTGACCGCAATGCTCGCATCGGATTGATTCTTCCTATTACCTCACAATTTCCTACCGCAGATCGTGTAGCCGGTCATACGCAGTTCCTGCTGGAGTTGAAAAGCCAAAGTGACTACGATGTCATCAAGGAGGAGCTCAACAGCTGCAAAATTGACTGCTCTAATACCCATTCTCGAGCCAGCATGGAACAACTCTCATCATTACCATCATCATCACAATAAGACGTGTACTCAGGCCAGCCTGCAGAGCCAGCCATACTTGCAATATTGACTCAAAGGGACAGTAAGAATGATAGCCACATCTAGTGCTATAAGGTAAAACTTCTTATCGCCTGATTATAACTTTTTTTTAAATGGCTTCAGCATGCTCGTGACGCTCTGCCATTTCATCCAGTGGCAGCAGGGATACAGGGCTTTAGAACAGGACATTTGCCGATAAGGTTTTCTTAATCCATGTGGCTCTGTTCTGTTGATATGCTGTCTGCTCCTGAGATGTAATGGCTAGGTAGGGAAGGAAAGAAAACACAGGACCTTAATCCTAAATAATAAAAAGATTTAGGTAAACTAGCCTAAAGTTAGCCTAAGTTTAAGATAACTTTTACTAAGTTTATTTTGGCACCTTATAGTAAGGTTTACTGTTTTCTTGCCCCCTGAGGAATAGTTATTGTAAAAGCTTCTGGGTAAAAGCTTATATTGAGGGAAAAGAATACCGTGTTCTTATTCGTTACCTGTGTTTGCAGCCTAAAGGTCAACCTTATAGGCCGCAGTCACCCCATAGTTAGCTGTCTGCTCCTGTTCAAAGAAGTCGTTTACCAGGTTTTGAATGCGCGCCCGTTGGCGCAGATGGGGAGGATCGCTTATGCTGATGGTGTTGCTTGATCCTTGAAGTAAGAAAGGGCGACGAGTATTTCGTCCGTATGTGTTTTTTGGTGTTCTTTACCTTTGTGGCCTTGAGGCTGAAGCCTCTTTTTGACCCCTCAACCCTATCACAGTTCACTCCAGGCTGCGCCATGCGGACGAAAGGGAAGCCAGTTACCAAGAGTTACTATAGAGCTGCCGGACGTGCCCCTTCTCCGCAGAGTCCTCCCACGATTCGAACTTAAGCCCCAGATCCCTAACCACCACTCCCTCTCGCAGAAGCGCACGCACGCAAGTCGGTTCGTGGGTGCAGGTTTTCACGTATTTGCCGCAGTGCTGGCATGTTGCTACTAATCCGCAGTTCTTCTTGCTGTCGTTGACCAGCAGCGACTCAAGGGCGACGTGAATCGCCTCCAAGCACTTGGGCTTGCTGCACAGGTGAGATATATGCTGATCCTGGTCGGGGTGGAGATCCCGCGACCAGGTCAAGACTCGGTGTAGCAGAGCGAATTTGTTGGCACCCTTATATACCCGTCGCCCTTATTTGGGGCTTTGTTTGAGATATGGCAGAATCCGTCGCGAGACGAGGCGTTGACGATCTTATCTTCAATCTTCTCTGCCGACTTTGTCGGCGACGTCTCGAACTGGCGTCGCATAGCTGCTCTCGCCTGCTCGATTCGCCTATCAGCGTTCGTTCAAGGTTAGAATGGCCGCCGCGTTCCGGAGGCAGGGCCAGGGGCACGTTAGAGACTCACCTCCTGTGGTGTTAACTTAACCTCCCGTCTGCGCGGGCGATTCTGGCGCTTCTTCAAGCGCTGGGATACACTAGGTCCGAGGAGCGAGGCATGGGCCGGTGATATTTCCTTCTCCTGATCCTTGACAGGGTTTGTGGCTTCAGTGTCTATTTATGAGTATATTAGTGATGAAACTCTTTTTTAGATAAAGTCCTGAACGTATGGACCGTATGGGATCAATGTCTTATGGATTGAATTTGTGCGTGGTGTGAATAGACGAGGATCTTGTTGCGACGAGAAAACTTGGTTTTGTTTGGTAGGCTGAGGATTGGCAGGATTGGAGGGTCCTTACGGTGACATCTAATGACCTTTCTCGGACTCGGCGATTCAACGGTCCAGCCCCCACCGAGCGCTCCCATCCTGGCCAGATGTTGTTTCCTGCTTAGAATGCAGAACAATAAATGTACGTCAACGGGCCTGTCTTTAGGTGTCGGTGAGGCTATTGTCTCAGTCCTTGACACCATCTGTCTCACTGGTCAAGACGCGAGTCGTCGCCCCCCCGTTATGCAAGTCTTGGAGTACCCCTTTATGGACATATACATTCAACGCGCGTCCTGGTCTCCGAATACATCGACCACTGGAATCACGACTGTGCCGCTGAAAAGGAACTCAGTTACCCCCATCAGTTTGAAGAAGGGCAATGGTTCACATCCCTTCGACCGTGGTGATCATTACATGAGAGAAGTAAACATCAGAAAGGGGCGGTACGACTTGGACCTCCTCGACTCTCTGGGAGGATACACATTCAAGGCCAAGGATTCCATCGCACCTATGCTTCAAACAGAACCTAAGAATCGGCCAAATGCCAAAGAGATCCTGTAATAGGGTCGCCGGATGGTTCCTTTGACTCTGTCGAATCTCCTGGCCCAGAGGCTGCGGCTGAACTTATCATCATAATCATCAAGACTGCATTTTTCATCAAACGTATTCTATAACGCGGACAATTCGCATGACTAGAATAAATCTTTCGCTTTATTCTTTCCACTGCTATGGCTATTTTTGGAACTGTACGATCTGCGGGACTCTTACTATTTAGGCTTCGCTCTTCAGTCATCCTCGTTAAACAGTGTCTAGCCAGGAACATCCATGCTACAAGACGCCAACGATACCCATTCTTCTGACGCCTTGGAGTTGGAGCTTTGAACCTCCTTTATCTTAGGCTCTGAGATCCCGGCGCTGGTGCCCTTTCTCATACCTGGCGGTGGTAGACCAGTTACTGGATAGTCACTGAAGTTTCTAATCGAGACTTCTTTGTCAGCGTATGTTTGTTGCTACCAGTTCACACCACCGCCTCGTGCATTTCAAGTGGGGGGAATGTGGGTATATTCATGACCTTTCTCTGCTGTGTCTTCTCCTTCTATCTTCGATCGTAGTGGATGGGGTTCATCTCAAGGTTGTGCCCATGGGTCGGCGGTGCGGCGGTTGAAGATTGGTCGCTTGCGTTGTTGGCTTTGTTGGCGGGGGGTGCCCATCTGTTGGTTTGATAGGATATCGGCTATGGGATAGGGCCTGACATGTAGTTGTTCTGTGGGAAGTCGTTCATTGTAAAATCCTTAGGTCGTCTCAAGTCGTTGTAGTTACTCGCTGCGTTCATCTGAGCAGCTTTTCTGGTCATCTGTTTAGATATGCAGGTGCACATCCGAGCACAGGACTGGAGGGGGACTCGAATACTACCTTACTCATCTTCATCCTGATTGGACACGGATAGGCAGCACACGCACCCCTTTCCACACCATTAATTTTAACTGCTTGAGACAAGATACTTAACCCTTCACTGGACTTATCGCATTGATTTACTTGAAAAGGTGCATTGGAATGCTCTTACTGTCCTGGTACCTCAAAAACTCGTACGGATTTCGCTTTGTGTCGAGCCTGCCGCTATTTCGGGTGAGACCGCAACTCTTATGAGTACAGGCACTAATCAAGGAACTATACAACTCAGGCTTGCCATTCAATCTCTTGCAATAGCATTGATGTGGAGAGGTGTGTCATATGTGACAGAGAACGCCTTCAATGGCATAAGTTCCTAATGGAGCCAAGCATATCAAATATCGGCAGCTTTCTTACCGTCAGGTGTTACCATCGAAGCCAGCTAAAGGCCAGGGAAACGCTCGTAGCGATGATGTAAGAGCTGGAACAAGTGGCCAGCCCATAATTGAAAGTTTTAAGAGGCAGTCAGCTTGATAGCAATCTGGATGACAGGTTCGGAGATGAGCCACGTTTCGTGTATCAACTGGAGTAGCATGACGCTGGGGTACATTAGGTTTCTGTATATGCGAGGAGGGAGAGATCACGCCCATCTTACAACAATATTATCAACAATCCTGAGTCCATATATCAACAAGCTGCATTTCCCAGTCCCTTTCATGTCATTATAAGGTCTAGGCCTTTGTTGTAAGCAATGATTTCTCAAGTCCACCAAAGCCAACACAACTTGCTATGCCTCTTGTTCCCAAAGCAACCTTTTACAAGATCTCTGCAAAGTCTGCAAAAAGCAATGTCTAACCGAACTCTATCACTCTGCAGTGCGCAGCGGAAAAGAGAGGTGGTTGTGAAACTCATCCCACTTGATAGAGAACAAGCCCTTGAAGTTGCCATCCCGAAGAATCTTGCAGTCCTCCTTGTGACCGTTTTCCTTCCACCCGCGAAGCTGACAGTCCTTGCTGCAGTACCAAAAGAAGCCGCACTTGGCACACTTCATCAGCTTCGCTGCCTTGTTGTTGCATCCGTGGCAGGTTCTCATCCCGTCGGTAAGGGTAGCGTGAGTTTGAATTTTGTCGCTGAGCTGCATCATGTTGTCGAGGGAGATCGGAAAGATCTGAAAATGAGTTAGTATGAGAGGAACTGGAGAGAGAGAATACAAACCTTGAGGTACTGGAGATCCTCATGCCGGATGCCGATGGTCATGTCCATGAAGAGATGCTTGACAGCGTAGAAGATGACGATAGTATTTCCAACTTGAAGGTTCGAGGGGCCAAGCTCTACACCGCGGGATTCTGTGTAGATAGCGATTGGAATCTCTAGACCATCTCGGTCCTTGACGGTGAGCCTAACGCGGAGGTCGATATGGACCTCGACGATCTCGCCGATGAAGACCCAGTGCTTGCGAGGCTCCCAGTAACCGTTGTCTCGCTGGCGGTAGTACTGGATGTCGAGGTTATTGTCCCAGGCGAGATCTTCGAATCCTGGGAAGTGCTTCTTGTCTTGCAGATTCGCGAGTTGGGCGTTGGAAGCCATGATGCCTGGTAGACAGGGGTGGCTTGATGTCACTCGTCAAGATCTTTGAGAAGACGTGAGAGGACAAGAAAAGATTTGGAGGAGGTGGAGAGAAGATATTTGGAAAATGAGGGAGTGGGAGCTAGGAAGATTTGTGGCAAGGCGGTGGGGAATGCTGTTTGGAACGGCTGGGTGCAGCGTTTGTCGGCCCCCTGCAGTGCAGCAGACAAACAAACAGCTTCGGTCTCTCTTTGCAATGAATGGCTATTGAGCAAGCAAGATATTTGCCAGGTCTGGTAGATAGCCAATTTACCAGTCTGTGCCCGTTTGAAAGTCCATATACATTGTGACACTTACACAAGGTTTTCTGGTGTTTATTACTTCCATTGGACGACAAACTCCTGACGTGCCGGCGCAGGTAGCAGAGCTTCTGTGCTACCAATTACGATATACGAGGGACTGCTGACATTCATAGAAATCACGATATTACTTACAGAGTTGGTAACTCACGCCATCATGCCGATCTACACCAGTGTTGAGATCAGCAACAGACACAGTTATAAGAATAAGTGAGAAATAGCAAAAATATGACTCCCAACCCAAGGAATCACCTTGATCTTATCGCAATGAAGGAGGCGACCCCCGAAGAGGTCCCACATACCCAGTAACCTAGGTAGTCATGCAGATATGTGCTACCATTGCACCAAAGCGGGCTTCTGATTGTTGATTATGAGATATGCATCTTTAATTGATACAATATGAACAAGGGCCATATGACTTGGGCAGCTGCTTCTAAGTAGAGTTCCTCCCTTAGAAGCCATGTAGTTGAACAGGGCGTATGATTTAGCTATATTATAAGTATAGATCTTGGCTATAAAGAGATGTCTCAATTTCTGGAACCCCTCCCTATCTTTTTAATAAATTGTGCATCAAGAATAGAGTTCACGGTAAGTGCATGATAAGTAGAGACATGAGAGTTACTGACGTTGTTGTTGTTCAGGCCTCGGAGATGCTTTCATCTGTAGACGCGTCGTGATTTGCTGCATTTTCTCCGCGCTAAACGGGGCGGGGAGGGTTGGAACTGATCGGCCAATCAAAGCCACTTTCTCTCAACGACCAAGCTGACAAGTCGTGCATTTCATTATCGCAGCAACTTACATCAACTCCTAGGCTCAGCTTTTGCGATGTCACTCCTACGCTTACCCACCGAAACACTAAGACAAATCTTTGATCAACTAGATTCGTCTTTCTTTCAAGAGGATCTGGGCCGCCTCACGGTCAACAAGAAGTGGTTCGATCTCGCTCTACCTGCATGCCTCAAGTGCATCGCCCTTTCTCGAGAGGCCCTGTGGAATCTAGTTGTTTCTAAGGAAACAAAAAGGCCTTCGTCGCTTGAAAACAACCTAGAAGCACTAAGTCTCGATCTCAGAGGCTACGATTCCGATCTCTCTAATGCGCGGGGTTCGACTTCACAGCCTAGGTCTCCCCAGGAGAACCCGGCCAAGGCGTGGGAAAGGGGCCTAAATGATGACCTTTCTCAGCTTGCCGTTATGGTCCAGCGGTCTCCTAGATTACGCACATTACGCGTGCGAGCCTGGAGTTATCCCTCGGCATACCGCTTTCCTCTGGAGGGCTATCTGTCACTATCTACTATGCGAGCATTGCTCTCGGTAGAGAACCTGGGAGTCCTGGTTCTGGATCTAGCTGGAACTTCTCTAGACCCTTCGGCACAGCAAGTGAATGAACATATCTGCCCATTCATTAGCGACCTTCTTCGTACTCTCCAAACACTCCATTTGCGCATGCGCAGTATCTGCCCTGATGTATTGAAAATCCAAGAACCCGATAAGAAGCTGAGACTAAGCGCTGTGGTCATCAATTTGAGTTTGGATACTCGCCAGTCGGATATAACGTCAGCGGCTCATTCAGTACCATGTGGCTCTCTGTTTGGCGGATTGATCCAACTGAGGGATGACATACAGAAACAGGCGGAAGTTCTTGTCACTCACATGGAGTCCCCAAAAACCATGAGGATTCTAACTCACACCCTTCCGCAGTTTGATACACTATCGCTGGACGTTTTGACTGGCAAGATAATGAGACTGGAAGACGATGCATCATGGGATGAGGATGGCAAAACTGTTCGGGAGGACTCGGAGCCAGAGTCCGAAATTTCAGACGAGGAATTTGACGGTTTCTTCGATGATTGATGCTGACCGGATGGTCAAGTTTCAGATCAACTTCCCACATTGGCTTGGCTTTCCATGCCTGCGGGCTGGCAATATCACCCGTCTGCCACTGAGCTTAAGTGTTTTTCTTCAGCTGATCTAGTCTATCAATCTAATCTACTTCACCTTTCCAAAGACGTACCATGTCAACTCAAGACCCGCGAAGTTCTATGCAGTTGGCTGGCAAGTATCGAATATGGGTTTTGCGGGCTCTAGGACCAGCTGCGAACATCCAGCTTCTCGCAACCAGTGGATTATGACTAAGGTCTACACTAAAGTCGGGGACCCATGTTGGTAGTGACTTGATTCTTCGTAAGCTCTCATCTTACTTCTGAGAAAAGCAATCAAGGTTGAGCTCCTTAGAATACAGGATGAGTTTGGTGGTGTTGATGTAAGCATCCTCAACGCTTTGGAATAATCTGGGAGAAGTTTTAGCCCTTTCTGCTTTACGTCATTCTCGGTGATGCCGATAAAAGCATAGACCTTGTCTCTGGGATCCGTGGCTTCACAGGCTCTGAACATTCTAGTAACGGTGTCTATGGGAAGTGGCTTTTTCCAGTACGATCGTGTGAGTCAAAATCCCTGGTGCCTAGACGGTAGGTGACCCCGCATAGTCTCTTGAAAAAGTTCGGAGTGGCTGAACTACCCGTGTATTTGTGGTTAGTAGTAAGAGTAAGCTTTCGAAGCCAAATAGAGTCACCGAGAGATCTCATGAATTTTGATAAGGCATCGAAAGGGATAGCGAAGACACCAAAGAGTGCATTTGACTTAGGGGCTAGGAGGGCTTCCTGTATGATCCATGACCTCTTGAACCAGGCTCGACTGAAAAAAGCCAAGCATTCCACGAGCTGTCTCTGGACTGATTGGCCGAAAACAGAGGATTTCGCAGCACTTTGGATCCGTAATGTCAAAGGACTTGAACATGTAACCATCAGGCCCGTCTAAGAATGGTTGAAGGAGTTGAATAGAATGAGAGATATACAAGAAGTCTGAGATGTCTTTCTGATAACCTTCAACCCATATCTGAACAGCGGCGCATTGGCGATATAATTGCCCCATAAGCTGAACCTTAGAGCTCTTTTCAGCAATACCAGTCTGGATAATGCAAAACTGATCAATCCAAATATACTCCGACATGTTTGACAATGGTGTAGAGACGGAGGCTCCTCTTGATTTGGTAAGATGATAGCGTAAGGCGATTAGAGCAGCCCACAAATTCGTTGTGACCTTGAATCTACGAGGAGTTTCTCATATTCCAGTGGAGGAAGATCCGTGGTATATTTAGGTACATTTGGCGGCTCAATGAGACTTATCTGAAGAGACCACATGATGCAGGTCGCGATCGGTGGTTATATGTTAAACAGAGTCGTGAATACTTAGAGATTTAGGGTAGAATATTGCGTTATAGAGTAGGCGATATGGCTGTCTAAGCAAGTGAATGGACTTCGGACAAATTCAGTAGTCACAGAAAGCAAACATAAGGGATTAGCTTTGTTTTATTGTTTGTTATAGAACTAGGTACTAACAGGTCAATTGCTATTTATCAAAACAGTTACTAATGTACCTGTTTATCTGATTAACAGTGAGGGCAAGGAGTATTTTGCCTGTATGTATCTTCTTGGTGTTCTTTACCTTTGTGGCCTGGAGGCTGAAGGCTCTTTTAACCTCTCAACCTTACCACAGTCTATCTGATCATACATGGTATGCAAGTAGACATCATGGAGGGCAGTAGGTATATTGACTTTACTTAATATGAATTTCTTTCCCTTAGAGTTAAGGCTGGAGCTTTATATAAGTCTTTGCCCTTGCAATAGTCGTCTGAGCCTAATAGCTTACTCAGAGCTTTATGCGATGGTTTGTGTCCTACGCGTGGGCATCTATTATCCAATGTAAGAAATGCATATGCCCAAATAACAGATAGGATCCAGAGTCTTTGAGTTCTCTCAGCTAGGGATTTTCTGTGGGTTTTACGTGCGCTAAAGATTTGGCCTTGTACCTGGACTACATAAATTGATTTTACTTCGAAAAATGTTGTTCTGCATGGCTTCTTCACTTTCTTCTGCAAAAGGGATAAGTAGAAACAGACTAGTAAAGAGTCAACGGCACATTGATTGACAATTAATGTGAAAACCGTTTGCTGCTTGACAAACTGGTTACCATGAATGGCTGAGAAAAAGGGAGTAGTTCCCTACATTGATTGCTTGACTGTATTAGATGTATGCTATAAGTTAATATAAATGTGATAGACGGTTGGACTCCATCAATACGACGACAAGAAATGGAAGCAAAAGCAATGCATTGCCCAATCCCGCGCTTAGATACAACAATTATCTTCGTCTATAATGAACGCTTTGACAACTATCTTTGCTTATTATCCATCCCAGTCTCATCCACTGCAACGTCGACGGCAACTGCGGCAAACCCGCTTGAATACGAACCCTAGTGAATTTTCGGATTCATCCCCTTGTCGCAAGTAAAAGGGGGCGCGGCAGCTAAGCCCAAAACCGATTGGACCATGTTTGGGCGGGAGAGATTCTTTTGAGATACGCTGTCGCCGATCGAATAGCATTCCCGTTTCATAACGAGGCTGCAGTTACATTGGAAGATGCGACGTATTGAGTCAGAACAAAGGGGCTTGTTGCTTTTATAGGAGCGTGTAATAGACTGATAGTGGAAGCGAGTTGGAGTCTGAAAGAGGAGTAGTTAGAGTCTTATCCCTCCTCGGGGAGCAAGAAAACACCAGACCTCAATATAAGGTATTAAAATAAACTCAGTAAAAGGTATCCTAAGCTTAGGCTAAATTTAGGCTAGTTTACCTAAGTCTTTTTGTCATTTAGGGCTAAGGTCCTGAGTTTCCCCCCCCCCCCCCCCCCAGTCCCTGTATTCTCCGACGGAGAGTTTGACTGCCGATGGAATTGGAGACGATGCGAGAATTTGCCGACGTTACGAGTTAAACTCTATCTACTGATATGTTTCATCGTTGTGCTATTCGAGTCAGTATCCAAAGTGCCGATATCCATGCCATGGCCACGGAACGTTCAGTCATCTCATCGCCAAACGCCCCAACGGCAATCATGACCTAATAAGCAGACTAGACCGTAGGCATCGAATCCATGACATCTTGAAATATCCAAATTACCTTTTACAAAAATTAAGCAAGGCTGTTGCGGATTGACCAAGTCCAAGCTCTGCCCTAATGTTTCGAGACCAAGAAATATGCATTCATAACAAGGAGATCCCTAAACCCCCGAAGCGAACCGCCCTCCCCGTCTCCATAAAAGCCCACAACGTTCATTTCGAGACTCCATTTCCCAAACTCTAATCCAAATACCGATGAAAGGCAAGACACATCCTTTCGGAGGGATTGTCTCTGTTTGAAGATGATCGACGATATACAATCACTCCGATTGGCTCGTCAGAAATAGTAGCTGTAGATCTAGTCTCGTTAATGACTCGTAGTGCCCGTCGGGTTTCAGCGGACCAACGGTTGATGCGCAAATTAAAAGCAAAGCAGCCTTGTTTAGTCTGAGCTGACGACACCCAATGTGGAGTGCCTTAGTGAAAGATGTGCACACTTGAATGCCGTTGAATTGCACAGACAATGGATGGTAGTGGCTGTTGTTAGTTCTCGTAGACGTCATGCCCCATCTTCTACTTCTATACATATTCTCGAACGGCATCTTCTAGCTCATAATATTCCATCTTCATATTGTCATCCTCGTATTCTCCACGATGCTACCGGATGCCCCATCTTCCGTGAGGACCTCCCAGATCAATCCTTGGAGAAGCCCAACTAGCGCCAGGGGCTTTATGTATGTACATACAATCTCACCACTCGGGTAACAAGTAGCCCACAAAAAGATCGGCATCGAAGAAATCCCAAATCCCATGTCCTTGAAAAAAACAGGGCAAGGCAATGCCGTTCACCGCTGGCAACCGATGACTCGTATGCTCAGCTGCTGCCCAGTTATATAGACAGCGAATGATAGCATGTCATATGCCGATTCTTAGTATAACGCCGGCCGTTGGATCTGCATAGAACATATCTCGCCCTAGTTAGGTCTTATCTCACAGGTCTAGTTCATAACGGTCCAAAACATCTGTGGATTCACTAATGCACGTACATGTCGATCCTGGATCCATGATTTGCCGCGGGAGCAGAGGTCGTATATGATCCCCTCAGCGGGCGGTTCGCTAATCTATTTGATGCGCCTCTTTTAATTCTTCTCTTTTTCTTTTGGCTTCTGAATCTTGACGATACAGATTGTGAAAAGACGCCCATTACAAGATGGAGACGACACCGAGGGAGTCGAAGCAGATTGATTTATGGATTTCTGAATTTGTCACGTTTGGGGCTGCGACGGTATTTATCGGGTTACGGTTGTTAAGTCGACGACTTACGAGGATTGAGTTCTGGTGGGATGATTGGTTTGCGATTGGGTGCTATGTAAGTTTGCGCCTCTACATGTAATTGACTTTGACTATAATACTAACTTCATCAAGTCTGTAGCTATCGCTTGGGTAGTGATCATTCCTATCTGTACGTCCCATTCACGTTATTCGCTACGACTGGATCTAACCTCGACCAGGGATCAAAGATGCTGGACTTGGACTTCACATTAACGACATTCATGGTCGCGGGACCAAGGCAGAGATATTGATGCACAACAGTCTTATCCTCTACGTCGCCGAATTGTTCTACGCGACTGCTCTTTTCTGTGCGAAAGGATCAATCTTGAGTTTCTACTGGCGCATGTTCCGAGTCACGAACATCAAACTTCCCATCCAGATCTTGGCCTGTTGTTCATTGATATGGATTATCATCCGAGTGAGTGGACCTGCAGCATACTGCCCATGATGGAAGACTAACAATAATAGACATTCATGGGTATCTTCCATTGTATCCCCGTGCAGCGCTTCTGGGATCCCTCTGCTGGAGGCTCTTGTGCCATAGAGGACAAAAAGTTCTTTTTCGGAACCATTCTGGTCCACGTTATGCTCGATATAGCCATCATCGCCCTACCGATTCTCCAGATTCGCAAGCTACAGCTGCCTGTCTTTCAGAAGATTGGTATCATGCTCATGTTTGTGTTTGGTATTGTGTAAGTTACGGCACTACCGTAGCTTAATTTTTACTAACTCTTGCAGAATTTGCGCTTCAGCTATGGTTATCATCGTGGCCTCGACCCAGTTCGATGCCACGTCAGAGGATCTAACCTGGAACTTGGTCACTATTGTCGTCTGGGCTTCTGTTGAAGTGAACCTTGTCACTGTATCAAGTATGTACGAAAGTCTTCATCTACGGAAACCAACTAACCGTGCTTAGCCTGTCTGCCTACCGTCCGTCCCGCCATCCTGTACCTCTTCACTTGCACCAACCCGACATCGACCATCGGCTCCGGTTCCAACAGCTACGGACCTAGCTACGGGCGCAGTCAGACCAAGAACACGATTCGACTGTCAACTCTTCCCAACAACAAAGACAACGACGAGTCAAGCTCCACTCATCAACTCGCCGATTCCGATCAAGGTGGCCGCGGTTCTTTGTCCGACTTTGAGAGTCACGCCATGGATCGATACCGCGGAAACGTTTCAACCGTCACTGGCCGTGCCCATGATCATGGTTCGGAGGAATTCAACACCGGTTCGCCATTTGGAGGAATCATGGTCAAGAACGAGACGACCGTTCGTATTTCGACGGCCAGGCAATAATAATGATAGCCAGAGGCAAGGTACATGGGGAGTGAAGGGTAACATAGGCAACGGGATAACCAATTCGACTCGGTGTATAAACGAGGAAACCGGCTCAACAGTCACGAAGCTAGAATATGTCTCAGTAGAACTTGATAGATTTTGTATCATCAAATATCACATTTTGCTACCAAACTATTGCTTTATCTCATTTTAAAAGTCTTTCAAACTGTCTTATCCGAAGCTGCTCTGTGATCCGAAGCTATCGGGTTTCGGGTTCGCGTTTGACCTTCGGGTTTCCTAAAGCCGAACTCCAACAGCTCCAGCAGTTAGTTAGAACGCATACCTTTAATGCATACATAGGATTATCTACCCCAGAACTTATTTGGACCTAACCCCAGATTTCCTTGCCGCTTGTAATTACCGTTGTTGCCCCGCAAGTACCTCGCTGAAGGGGCTCTGATCCGAACGCTCAGTATAAAGACCGTCCTCCGGGCCCACCCATTTGATGCGAACCACAGACAACACTACAACTCAGCTTCACATACTCTACTAGACTACACAAAAATGGTCTTCACACCTCCGTCGTGGGTGCCGAGCCTCCCAATTGGTATGAAATGATCCTCAGTCTATAGAAACAACGCTTATTATTGTAGATCCTCCCGACTCTATTTCGCTTCACGAATTCATGACAAGCGAGGCCTATGGCCGACTTCCGATCGCCAAATCGAGAAACCCATTAACTTGCGGTATCACGGGAAAGACATATTCCGTGATAGAGGCTCATCAACGAGCCGACTTCCTCGCCCGTGCGCTCGCTAAAAGACTCGACTTTTCACCCAACGAGGGTGTTGAATGGGACAAAGTCGTTTCCATCTTTTCTGTCAATACGGTAGGTTAGAAGTGTTTACGTCAACAGGTTAACTGATAATTTGTAGATCGACAATTTCACAGTTACGCAAGCTGTACACCGACTGAATGGCATTATCACACCCGCGAGTGCTGCACACTCTGCTTCTGACCTGGAGCATCAACTGCGCTCATCTGGGGTCAAAGCGCTCTTCACGTGCGCTAGCCGTCTGGATGTCGCCAACAAAGCAGCCAAGGCCGTGGGTATTCCTCAAGATCGCATATTCATTCTAGCTACGCCAGGCGACAACTCAAAACTGCCGTTTATAACAGTTGATGATCTTATGAAAGAGGGTGCAATCCTCCCGGAGTTGGAACCGCTGAAATGGGTAAAGGGTCAAGGTGCGAGGCAAGTCGCCTTTCTCTGCTACTCCAGCGGCACGTCTGGTCTTCCCGTAAGTGTATGAGGCTGTTGCGATGTGTTCACTTACTCACAGATGGCAGAAAGCAGTCATGATCTCCCATCGAAACATTATCGCCAATGTTCTTCAACTCACGATATATGAGAGCGTTTCCCGCCAGAAAGATGCAATCGAGACGCAAGCATGTCTCGGTGCTCTTCCTTTTAGCCACATCTACGGATTACTCATCATTTCATTTGCCAGTACCTTCCGAGGTGACGAAGTTGTTGTCCTACCCGAGTTTGATCTGGAGAAAGCCTTGATTGCCGTTCAAACGTACAAGATTGCTCACATGTTTGTCGTAAGTTGTCATCTATCTGGTACAGTCCAAACACTTACGGCTACAGGTCCCGCCGATTATTATCCGCATCATTCACAACAAGGCCCTGTGTTCAAAGTATGACTTGAGCTCCGTCCGCTGGCTGTACACAGGCGCGGCCCCTTTAGGCTCTGAGGTAGTTGAAGAGGTAAAACGACAGTACCCGAAGTGGCGCGTAGGACAAGGATATGGTATTCCATTAAAATCTCAGCTTTACTCATGGATTATGCTAACTTGGGTAGGCTTGACCGAAACTTGTACAGTTGTGTGTACCACGAGCGAAGACGACATCGACATAGGATCCTCGGGCTCTTTGGTGCCCTCAACCAAAGCCATGGTTATCAATATCGAGACGGGCGAAGAGATCACGGAGTACAACAAGCCGGGAGAGCTCCTGGTACAGACCCCCTCGTTGGTCCTGGGCTACATGAACAACGAACGGGCTACATCCGAGACATTCATCTGGAGAAAGGACGGCCGCTGGATTCGAACTGGCGACGAGGTTCTCATTCGGCTAGCGCCTTCTGGGAACGAGCACCTCGTGGTCGTGGACAGACTTAAGGAACTCATCAAAGTCAACGTATGCTTACCATTGCCTTTCTTATAATGAGAGGTCTGGAACAGTAACTGACACATGCACAGGGCCACCAAGTTGCCCCAGCAGAGCTCGAAGCTCATCTCCTCTCACACCCATACGTCTCAGACTGCGCCGTCATCCAAACACCCAACGACAAGGCTGGCGAGGTCCCCAAAGCATATATCGTCAAGTCGGAGGCTTGTGGTGGACAACCTGATGGTGTTGTCTCTCGCGCAATCTGCAAACACGTTGAAGATCACAAGCAGAGATACAAGTGGCTTGGAGGTGGTGTCGAGTTTATCGACACAATCCCAAAGAGTCCCAGTGGCAAGATTTTGAGAAGGCTGCTGAGAGATAAAGAGAAGGAAGCAAGGAAGAGCTTGGTGGCTAAGCTTTAGCTGGGAGTTCGCGTCGAGTGACTGGAGTCTGGTTGGCAAGACATAATATCTCAAGCTACTCTGATCCAATAAGCCGTCAGTAGAAAGACATTAAGAAAATAAGAATCAAACAAAGTAAATTTCAGAATGGACTTGATTGCATTGACCGCAGAAGCACAGGCAGTATCCATCCATATTAGTATATCTGCTATATGACAAGGAATGCAAAAAGTAAATCCCCGGTACAAGATTTACTCGTGACCTTTGTCTTTGCCTCAACGGGAGTTGGTCGGGTACTGCACCACAGAGGGCGACAGTAGGCAAAGACAATGTGCTAACCACTGCACCAACCGGGGTTTCTTGATGGTGGTTGTGAAGCATACTCTGACTTATGTATGGCTACGTACACTTGTGCATTTAGCGCTTTGTGAGTGTGCCTATTCAACTGTGATATGGCACATGCGATTTTACACCAAACTCTTCACACACGTTGAAAGGTACGCTTGAACTATTGTCAAACGCATAACATCACGAATTTTCGAGATATCGGGTAACTAATTCTGCACCAAATGGTGATTTACAGTAGGACAAGACAAGAGAATGATATCAATCAACTACCCTTAGTCCATAGGTCCTTATTTACGAAATTTTTGTCCACTAAACACAACACTTACATACCCAAACGCATTCCTGAATGATTTCTTCATCAAGGAATTTCTGTCACTTCTATGGATCACTGAGCTGAGAAGAAGATGAACCGCAGGCGCCCACACTTGAACAATTCTGGGAACGACCGCCGTGTATGACTTTACCGAAATGATCGGTGGAGATTGTCTAGAACGATACCTAGGTTGATTCCACAATTTGTTTCCACAACAAGACGAGTTGAGGCATGTGTTGGTAGATATCTTGCTGTGCAAGTTGACGTTTATGGAGGGAGTATTTGACTTGTGTGGAAAGTTTTATGAAGCCCTGAATCATCGCCAAAACTAGCCTGGATTGATGAGTCGTCTTATTGACGTTGAGGGGTTGTGACTCTCGGGGCTCTTCAGAATAACGAGGCTGAGTTGAGTTGATGGGATGTAGTCGGTTGTTGTGGACCTGAGTGGGCCTCCGTCCTATCACCATCAGCAAGACCCATAAATTTGACATCTCAGGACAACCTCACCTCTTGGACCTCTTCACGAGAAGATTTTGATTTCAATTCTTTCTCTCATTAGAGATACTCGAAAAATAGAGAGCGATGATTATTGGGCTTTGGACAGGGGAAGAGTTCTGGTCTGGGCTTCCGAGCAAGAAAACATTATTTGCTGTATTGAACCTGTGAGACGCTCAATCAACGGTCTGCTGTGGTTTTGTAACAGGTCTCACATCGCTCCTCAATTATATCCGAGCTCTATGAAACATACCATCACTGTCCAATTCGCCGAGGTTACCAAGCTCGATTCCTTTCAGCGATACAGCGCCAGATGCGATCAGGACAAAGGATGTGTTCAAAGTCGCCCATGTCTGGCTCAAAGCAATTACGTGAGCGTGAGCCTGAACATGTGCTGGCATTGGTATCTGATGGTCCAGTATGTCTCGTTGCCACTGGTAAATTAAGTGTTCCAGATTTCCACCGGAGGGGCACCGTGTCGGGGCGACAACAAGGCGTAGTCAAAAGCTACAACGCTTAGCATTTAGAGCAAAACCAGCGATACTGGTGCTTGAGAATTGCAAACTGTCCAGTTATTCACGGTCAGTAGAAAGCAGAGCTATCAAGAGAAGCGATGATGGAGTGCGAAGCCTGATATTGTGTGTGAGGTCCAATGTGGTTATATATAGAATAAGAAAACATATTACAAACTACCACAATATAGCTGACGTTGGCATGATTTACAGAGAGGTGCAATATCTATCGCAATAAGAAAAAAAAGCACCTTTGGTCGGTCCAAACAGGCACTGTCATGAAGTCAAAGCATTGAAAAAGCCAAAAAGTTTGGTCAGGAATGGTCTCACCCTCGTCAGGGGTCTTTGACTGGGTTCGAACGGTGTAGCCTCTAGAAGATGACCACCTTTCTCATAGGGTTGGGTATATGTCCACCTGACCACATCCCAGTTTCTTGTCGTGTCCCATTTGCTTAGAGGTGTTTTACTTGGGGCTATATACCTTATGCCGCTGTGTCACTGACTGCAGAACATAGATGCTCCTGGCACTGGCAGGCAGTGCTTCCCGCACCGCTGCTCAACCACACCGCAGAGATATGGCACTGCGATTTTATGAGAGTGGAAGCACAGTGGGGCACCACAGCGGCTTCTTCCCACCCTCCTTTGTCAGAGGGAGAGCCAGTCAAAGAAGAGTCAATATGCGAGGAGACTTTTGTAGCATGCTTATATTTCTTGCAACCTGTAAGTCAAGGAATGACAATACAGGAGTGGCAGAGTGATGAACATGTTTGGATGACTTCCGTGATATGCTTGAATGATGAAACAACGACACTGGGAATAGAAGAGATCTTTTTCAGCTTTGCTTTTTCACGAGGGAAAAACACTACTGTACATCAAAATATCTTGAAAAATCATCGCTGGTGAGTTCCCCTTGTCGTGTTACCATGGCATGACATGAACTTGTCTTCCACCCATTCTCGCCCAAAACGCTCTGATCAACCATCAACCTCCATTTACATCTCAGCAATATGCTCCTTCTCCAACTCCATCAAGTGAAACACCTGGCTTGGGGTGCAGTGGTGGTCGACGAGAACACGAAGACTGTTCGGGATCGAGACTTGGTTCTTGAGGCAAGTCTTCCAAACGTCCTTTAGGTGCGTGTAGGAGTCAAAGAACTCCTTTGGTGGGCTAGCTTCGTCGACTTGTTGTTCTCCGACCTCATGTGGTTTCTTCAAGATTTCTCGCCGAGCGCGCTTGGCGATGGCGCGATCGGGAGTTGTGAGTCTCTTAGCCAGGGTCTTCATCTGGCGGGTGTAGTCGCGTAATGAGATATTGTTATCCTCCAACTCATCGTCTTCGTTTAGAGCGATGGGGCTGTTCGGGATGTCGTCAGGCTCAACAGATAGAAGAGGCCTATCATACGGCTCAAGTTTTGGATACACTGGTCTAGGCGTCTTGTGTGTCGGGCCGAAGACTTGGCGAAGGATGTCCTCAAATCTGTTCACCTGAGGCATTCTGGTTGTGACTACCCAACAAGAGATACCACCCAATTGTTCGAGTTTCGCCACAGGCTTCTGGCAGGCTTCGTCAAGTTCGATAAGGAATACATGCGACCCAACCTCTGCGAACACTTGAATGGCAACTGATAGCCACTGGGTTACGTTGAGCTCGCCGAACACTTTGACTAAATATTCGTTTTTCTGAAAGAACTCTTCATTGTCAGGCTGAAGCTTTCGATAGGCTATCGCGGCAATTAGACAGCCCATGACGTGTGCTGGCGGGCAGACAATCTTGCTAGTCATCGTATGCAATCTGATGACTTTGAGTAAGTTCTGTCGAATGAAGTCCATGGCTTGGTAATCCTCAAGCTTTGTATGATGAAGTAGCCTGGTATGGCCGAGTCGTTCAGTCATGGCACTAGTATACTCTGACGCGTTCTTTTTCTGAATTCCCACCGAGTGGCAGATATCAACGGTGATATCTGTATAGAGGCGGCGTATCTGAACCCGGTGAACATGACGGTCGGGGAAATTTCTGCAGACGTCAACCCCAATGCGATGAATATCTATTTTGCCATCTCTGTTGATCAGAGCGAGTGCCTCTGCCTTTTCGTCCATCATAGGCCCACATCGCCATCATCATGCCCAAAAAGAAGCCGGTTGTGGCTCCCAAGTCTAATCTCCCTCCTACTCTAAAGGTGCCATGCGTTCTTCAGGTCAATGGTAACCCTTTTGGCGGCAAAAGCCTCGGCATCACCACAAGTATAGCCACCTCGCTGCTAGCAATGAGATCTCCAGACAAAGAATCATTTCTTGGCTTTGTCATCGAATTCCCGTTACCCACTGATAGCATTGGTTTCGGACAGTCTCATCACAGTGAGCTCTTAAGACTGTTGTGCTCGATCCGGCATCTGCTAACAACCTGGCCCAGTTGATTTTTCTACTCGAAAGGCCAGTCCAGGCAACACTTGGAAACTCACCGTGAAGTTCCCCCGTGATGATATTAATATCAACTACCGGGTTGCAAGTGAAGAAGAAACCGCCAGATACCCCACCGGTAGGAAGCACATGACTTGGGTTGACGTCTCCCTTGGCAACAGCGTAGCAGTCTCTGTCCAAGGATTTGGTATGCCGTACTAGAACCCAGGTCACCCGGCTGAAGATTGGCTGCGGTATACTGCCTCGGCAACCGTTATTGGCGGCCTTTCCCTTCTTGATATCATCCAACAGCGACACTTTTCGTTCCTCGCTGCTCAACCTGAAAGGACCATGATGGCGAGGTGGAGTATCGCAAGCTTAGCACCCAACTTCGACTACGGCTATGGTATAGACCAATCATGGAACATGGACAGGTACATGAAGCAGCTTCATGATGTCAAAGGCCACCGCTTCCAGACTGCTTGGAGTTTTGCAACCGACGCCTCCCATGTGACTTCTCTGACACAGAGCATAGTCCAAGATTTCATGTGGATCCAGAAATTCTGCCTCAATAAGACTACCGAAATGGGCTCCGCGTACTTCGTCAAGCATCCAGCGAGCCGGACGTCGGGAAGATGGTTGGTCATAGTCAAGATGGATCGGGGGTTTTGGAAGCACACGGAATGGTCTCAAGCATGTATCCATGGTACCATGAAGCTGGTAGTTCATCCGGGGCCAGATGAGCTCCCTGAATCATGGACGGACGACCTTTCGGAACGCTATTCAGCCCGAATCTGCCACGATCCCGATGAAGTCAGATTGCTCAACCGACATCCACTCACTGAGAACGACTTTGTTATCAGGGTCATCGAGCCGCTTCATACTCAACTGGGTATCAAGGAGTTTGAAAGCCGTGAGGAAGCCGACGCTGCCTATGATACCGACGAATCGCCTTAGAATCGCGTTTCATTCGAATGGGACCTCAAACTTCATAACGCAAAGCGGCAAGTCGACGCTATTTGCGACCTTTTACCATCGGCCAGTCCGAATCGCCTCTTCTGTGATCAGGGGCGTCATGTCTCAGAGATTGGCGCCAGCAACGAGGCGCTGATGATGAGCCTTCACAGAGATCTCCTCCGAGGCGATGGTTTCTGGAAGACGATGATGTCCGCAACCTCAGCCGTGGACCAGATGGCAAGCCGCCTGGATGATCTGGATGTTGGCGGCCAACGCCAACAATTGGCTTTGTCTATACTCCCGTCTGTCAACTTCCTCAAAGAATATGGCAGAAGCGGCTGGGCTGATGCCCTACTGTCAGAGGTTTCTGAGGCCAACCAATGTCTGCTTCGGTACTACCTCAGCAACCGCCCTCTAGGCTTTGGTATTATCACAACTGTAAGCAACTGGCCCCTCAAAATCAACCCTTTTCCATACTAACGAGAGATTTAGGGTGCCAACAGCGCCGATACCCCCGTTTCCCCCGTGGCGGTCCTGGCGTTGCATGCAACCGTGGGTACCGTCATGGCAAGCGGTCCGACCCCTGCTGCCGTCGACAAGTTCGTTTCGGACCTCCATACCGTCTCTCGCAGCGTCGCATGCAATTACAATATCGGAAGAAGTCAGCAAGCCAGCACCCGAGGTGCTTTGATCATCCGTGGCTTTCAACTTCAGGTTGAATGCGATGCCTTCAAGCATTTACTTCAATTCCCCCACCTCGGCGATGAAGCGGCCGGTAATGACGAATGGGGCATCAAGTTGGATTGGCAGCTCCATCTCTCGGCCACGTTTTGGCTTCTTGTCTGCCTTGGCTCCGAATGCCTGCCGCCCCTACAGAAGGAAGACAGCAACATTTTGCACGAGTTCCAGACCTTACTTATAGGGTCAGACAACCCTGTTCGTCTCCGTGAACGGGTTGCTGACAAGATCTCGTGGGAAGAGTACGTGACTGGTGAAACTGTTGGAGACGCTGAGATCATGCGACTGATGAAGATGCTCATTGAGGTCGCCGACATTGTCTGTACAACCCCGTCCCTTGCCCATACCGAAGATCATCTCAAGAAGTGGAAGGTAAAGCGGGCTAGGGGCATAGCCATTGAAGAAGCTGGCGGTATGAGCCGTGGCGATCTGTATTCGATTTGGGGTAACACACTCTTGCCCTGCTTTCTTGCCGGTAATGAAGAGTTTGTTCCGCTTGAGGTGAAGAGCTACCATGATATGGATAGCTATCGCAACTTTCGGAACAGGTTTGGAGATGACGCTCGGAAGTCTGCACTCGAGTTTCTCACTGCGACTGGATGGCCTGTATATCGCGTTCGTGCTTAGTGAGACTGGTAGTTGTGCTAGTATAACACATATAGAAGGGTAGCGTACACTACTAAACTAGTTGAATGTTAGGAAACTTTAAGGTGATCTTCAGAATGTCCTTTAGTAGACTTGATAAACATAGGAGGGTTCTGTAAATTCTACCAAGACCTCAGAATAGAGTCCGAAGTTCCTTTACTCCCTGAAACTAAGTACGCAACGAAACTGTTGAGTTGTAAGAATAATGTACTAATATGATACGCAAAGCGATTGCTCTTTTCCGATAGAATTTCACTGCCATGTAGCCCAGCCAGGTGAACCATCATCAGCCTCAGTGAGAAACAATCACCATCACGAGATTTAAGTCTTAATTATGGCAAGATCTAATCAAGTTCTTTGCTTCTATCATATTGGCCCCTACGGGAAAGCTCCCGACAACTGCAAACAACGCAAAGGCTTTAGATGACCACCTCAACAACTGGTACCCCAAGACGCCTAAAGCAAGCAAGCTTCACGAATGAGTTTCTAATAGGTGCAAACACCGCAAAGTCCTTGAATGCCGAGTACACCCTTTTGTAAGGTGAATAAGACTATGGATAGATGGGTCAACTAGCCACACTATTCCGTTCTGATGGTATCGGTCTGGACGCGAAAGAAACCCAAACCTCTGATGATGATGTTGCGCGACGAGTGAAGTTGACTGAGTTTCGCCTTGCCTTATCTGTAGCCTCACGGAGGATGACGATGTAGAGGATTTGGCTAGGAGATGCCATCGCTCGGTGGTAACAGCGAGATGTCCAGATAACAGCATGAGGAGATGTTGTGAAAAGTTTAGAAACGAGATGATGCGAGGTAAGGTGCGATAGTCCATTGAGTTTGTTGATAGTGTTTCTGCACTCCCAAGAGACCTAACTGTTTTGACATCCTTATGAAAAGACTGAAGTTGGCTGACCGAGCTTATGCAACGAATGTTAATACGGCACTGAGATAGAGCAACCCGACACACCGACAGCTCATTCATTTCAGCGGTTCAGAGTGTTCTCCAGTTTGTTGTTTTGCAAAAGCCATCACCTTATTCTGACAATCTCGCCATCAAAAATCTAGATATTTTCAGCCACCTCCAACTCATCGCTGGCATGATTCACGACCCGCCTCTCCAACTCCCCTTTTATACCATCCTCTACAAGGGCGCTTTCCAACTCTGGAAGAAACTTCACTCCTCACACGGTATACGCCACTGCTTTTGAGTCTCTTAACCCTTATCTGATATCTCGATGCGAATCTTCTATCGCGGTCCTAGAACTTCAACACAACGTCAGCCACACACTCGAAGTAGTGTAGAGGAGAAGCAACTGAACTTACGCGATCGTTCATATTTTCAAGAACCCGTCGTTTCTCCCATGCGGAAAGCCTCTTCAAGCTGAGCCAGACGGAACGCCTCATCTGAGCTACAATGATACTCGACAAGTCGACGCAGACTTTCTGGAACACTTCCAGTCTTTGCCAGACTTCGGTACCAGCGCCTCTCAATACAAGGAAACATCTGCGGACCTTTGTGAAGGGTTTGCTGCAGACTTTGAAGTGAGGATGCCATCCCTGCCCTCTAGTCAGCGATGGCTTCGTTCTGGAGTTCAAATGCAGTGGAGAAAGCGCTGCGCTCAATTTCCAAGAAGTCACGCTCCTGCTGCACAAGACCATGGGCTTCTTGTTCCATGGCTTTCATCTTCTCGTCGTGGAAATCCGCGAAGAGGGCGACTCCTCGACGGACCTTATTCACGATCTCTCGACGCTCCAGCTCTGGAAGTCCCCTTCGCAAGGGCTTCAGATCCGCGACGTAAAAACGAAGGATGTCAGCACCCATGCCACACCAAGCCATGTCCTTTCTTCGGTTGGGGACTTCAACTGTATACTCCCATTCGGAGATATCTTCGTCGATGAACTCGGAAAGTTTGTTAAACCACATCGGGTCGTGACTCAGGCACCAGTCGCGAACAGTGTGCTTCATCTCGGGTGGGAGGACGCGAAGGACAGGCTCGGTTAGCCACTTCGATACCGCTGGCTTTAAGAGCTTGTCGACAAACTTTAACTTTCCCATCTTGCTGATATTCTCGCTGGCTTGCTCGAGGGCTTCTTCTCTGGTGATTGTCTTCTGGACCAGAGTGGGGGCTGGGTCAAAGCTGTCCACCGAGGAGACAGACTCTGTGTCCTGCTGATCAAGAGAGGGCTCAGACATGTTTGTTTGGAGTGCTCTTTGCAGGACGTGAGGTTGATCGCCGTAAAGACTCTTGGTCTTGTGAAGAGCAGCTTTGATTGGCACGAGCCCTCACAGCCGGAGGCAAACAAATAGCAAGACGTTGAGTTTCGTCTTCGGTACCGGCGCTTTGCTGTCAACACTCCCAAAGATGTCAGTCGATGTGTATTACTGAGTTGCCAACAGAGACTCACCAACAAGCTCAAGGTGGCGATTATAAGCTCTCAGCCCAAGGAGATGATCAACAGACACTATGCTTTGTCTCAGAGCCTAGACTGAACGAAATCAAGATGTAGTGATAACACGAATCGATAAAGAGTATTTTAGGCAAAGAAGCAAACAGAAATGGCAAAAGTAATGAAAATTGGGTTTCCGTGCAGCAAGACGTAAGCCAGAAGCAAAGTCTAAGAATTCAGAGTGCGTCGAGACGAGTGAGTGGATCAGAGGAAGAAGAGATGAGTGGGGCCTCGAAGGGACATTCTCTTCAGGGGATCAACCCTGCCATTACCTCTCCTCGGGAAGTAAGAAAACACCGGACCTTAATATAGGGTGTAAAAATAAACTCAGCAAAGAATATCCTAAATTTATGTAAGTTTACCTCAGTCCTTTTGTCACTTAGGATCAAGGTCCTGAGCTTTCTTTCCTCCCCTAGCCTCTATCAAGCTCACTGGCCCTGTGTCGCATGCTCCGGAGTAGGTCCACTACTTATTGTTACACAGGCGACGTTGAGCGATATCGGGCTGCTTCTGCCTGTTTGCATGGATCGATGCGTATTCAATTACACGGAAATCATCTTCATCACATTGAGAAAAGAATTACTCGTTGGGAATTCGCATAACTTTCTCCTTGTCTCACTTGTGAACAAACTCATATCGACGAGCAACGTTTGATTTTCAGGAAGATCCTATCACTCTCACGTTTTCCTAGCCACTTTAATTCCGTCTCAGGCCAACTAAAGAAGACGTAGAAACACAAGTCACAAAACCAACTCAACAGCGTGCACACAAGCCTGGAGCCATGAGGATGCCTCAAACAACCCACCAGCCAAAGCGGCAGCCAGCGACTTGACAACTACCAGGCCAGGCACCCATCATCCAATCACAGGCCGGTTCCGTGGTCTAGTTGGTTATGGCATCTCGTTAACACCGAGAAGGTCCCCGGTTCGATCCCGGGCGGAACCACTCTTTTGCCCTGTGCTCGACTAAGAAGTGGTTCTTATTTCTCTTCTTTTTGATAATGATGTTTTGAAACTGTTGAAAATGTAAAATGGCTTCGATCTCTCGTGAAAAGATGGTGTTCGGACATACTGATAGTTAATGCTACATTACGCGGGTCTCGAGGGGTCAAGGAGCAAGAAACTTTCTGATTCTTTACAGCCAATTGGTCCTAACGTCCACTGAGTCTTGACTGCGGTTAGCAAAAGTCTGTTCATCGTCTAGGTTGAGCTCCTACGTTTTCTTGCCTACAGTTGGCAGGGTAGAGCTTGAACGTTAGTCTTGAAGATGTAGTTGATCACGACAACAACTCAGTGACAGTACGGATACAGAATAGCGAAATAGAGACTTGAACTGTCTTCCCAGTTCAAGAACTCAGATTCGAAAGTCAAGGTTTGATGCCCGCTGGATCTTGTGTAACAAATGAGTTAACGACCTCTGCATGATTAGAGAATATTCACATCAAACAGGACAGATAAAGGTAGGAAGCTGTTGAAGTTTGAAGTGATCATAATTATTTATCGTCTATAAAATGCTGAAATGCTCATAAACCATGGTATTCCCCCTCTTTCATTAAACCCTCATTAAAATCCCATCTCTTTCATTCATTTTAAATCATCAACATATTTTACTTGATCTGCTGGATGCTCTTCCAGCTTCCGCTGTGGTCTCCGTACAAGTACTCGCGAACACTCGCTGTTGTAGGAGCGTCGCCACCGGCATAGTCGACAATGGAGATGCTCTTGTAGTAAGCGTTGAAAGGACCCTGTGAGTAGTCGGCAAGACCACCGGCCCAGGCGATGGTACCAGGGGCAGCATCGGGAGAACCAGCAGTCCATGTTCCGAGCTTGATCTGCATGGGGGTCTGGGGGTAGCCGTTGGGACCGGTGGCGTCGGTGTAGGGAAGGGTTCGGACGACTTGGTCGTCGATCAACCAGTTGATGGCTGCGGGAGTCCACTCGATGGAGTAGAGATGGAACTGGCCTGTTGGGTTGACGACGGGATGGAATTCACCGCGGTCGTATGTTGAAACATCTCCCTTGCTGAAATAATTCGACTGAACTTGAGCGTTATCACCTCCAAGCCACTCCCAGTCAATCTGAGGCTGTTAGTTAATGTTTTATACAAGTTGGTGGTGAACTTACCTCGTCAAGGTTATCAGACTGAAGAACAGCACTAGTGCAGATGCCTACACCCGTAGAGGCTTGCACCTCGACATCCACACGGCCAAAGAAGATGTACTTGCCCGTCGCAATTGTAGGAGCCTGGTTAGGTCCCGAAATTGTAAAGACAGCACCATTTTCGTTATGCTCAAGCGCAGTACCAGCATCCTCAGCGAAAGCTTCACATGCACCCTTTGTGAAGTCACAGTGGACAGTGTCTCTTCCAAAAGCAGGGTCGGCAGGACATGCTATGTTGTGTAAGTCAAGTGTACCGCGTTGTTGGGTTAAAGAGGTGAGACTTACTGGCTGTCATGGGGTTACACTTTGTGAATGTTTGGGCTGAGACAAGAGGTGCCGCGAGGGCGAGGGCTGCGATGGCTTTGGAAAACATTCTTGCTAGTGTCGTGTAACGAAGTACAACAGGAAATATGGCTTGTCAGTAATGCACAATTATCCAAAATATTGGTAGGATGAGGATGGGATGAGATATTTTTAATGTTCTCACGCACGTTGATATAGTACTCAGAATTCGAGTCGATTGGCAGTTGGTGAAGGCTGGTTTAATACTTTGCTTTCTGGTGACAAGAGGGCTTCCCAACCTCCTCCCCTGTCAAAAAGCCTCGGTTTATATCGATCAGACGATGGCTCGTATTGCAGTGCTAGCGTCGACTAAGCAACCAGGGTTGGCCTACTCGCAAGCCACCAACGGCAGGGATCTCCACACCCCTTGCATCAGATCACCAATAGCACGGACAGAACCCTGCCAAGAGGAAGTGAGTGAGTTGCTGTGGTGAAAATAACGGCCAGAGGGTGAACTGCTATGAGACAAGAGGCTTTTCCAGATCCGGTCGGTGGTGCAGTAGTTGGGTGGCTTGCAAGTCTTACCAACCACTGATACGAACTCCCGCCCGGCCATTTTTCTCTCCAGCAAGGGTCTAGATCGTGGTGGGCTGCTTGGCTAGCTCGACATCGTGGGTGAGCGGGCTGTGTGCGATATGCGTCCAGGGACTTTGAACTAAAGCATGCGGATTGTCAGCGGAGGAGTAAATTCCTTGTTGCTGACGTCAGGTCAATCATCAGAAGTCAATTGACTCACTGTAACGATAATTCAATTATCCCTCTCTTCTGCTCGTGGTATTTTCGTATGATACTCTATCGAGAGGTCGGCTAGACTACAACCGTATTTGTCTGGGCTAAACGGCCAACCTCCCCAAATACGAGACGCTATCGCGACAGCGAGCGGCTAAAGAAAATGGGAGGCTGCAAAACCGCTGTATCCGTAAAAGAAGGTTACGATAGGGATGACTTAGTACCTATGACCCGTTCTTCTTTTTTTGTCCCGCCGCTCTAACCGACTTTCTCTTCTTCTCCATTCTTCTCTGCATGTCGACCCTAGACCGACCGAGGCCTAAGCTGAGGAACATGAACATGTCAAAGCTCCGCGTCCCCCCACTGATCGTTATCAGCTCTCCACTGATAAACGACAATCTGCAGGTCTATTGCTTTGGACACTTGAAGATCTCGCGGATCTTTATTTGAGCTCGTAGTCAACCAACTGAGTTGATGTCATTGAATAGACAATCATTCATCGATCGATCAATTGACAACGAGAGTGTTTTCTCTGCCAAGAGAGAGAGTCTCAGTAAGCTTCCATCGTGGGCTCAGCTGATCCGTCATGAGGTGCTGTACCCCGCTTGAGCCATGCATCATCATGGAGTACAAGGCCCTTGATGCATGCATCACCACTCGGACCCGGCATCATCGACTGAACATGTCTGACCGTATATCGACTTTTCTCGTTTCCCCGCTTTCACACGCTGATTCAAGCAGATCTCGTGCTTTAATCAGCATAGACCTTCCTGATGAAGACATCACGACGTATGCATGCAACCCCAATTGTTCACTCGCGCGTCAATCATAATCATCCGAGCGTGAGTTGATGCGATGGGACGTTGGACATCACAAGTTCCACCGAGACAAGGCTGTAGTGAGGGGAAATGCACCATGATTCTCAGCCTCATGGTCTAGTAATCAATAGCTCGGGGTCATCCTGGCATCCGGATACCCGTGCTGCCGTCCTTGAAGCTGTAACCCCGCTTGTTCCCGTTCAATAGACAACCAACAGAGAGTAGCTCGACGGCCAACTCCGCATTCTTTCACGAAGGCAATTGAAGTGAAACTATCTCTACAACGAAATAGAAGCATTTTAACGCAAGGCACAGCCGTATTTCAGCAGTAGTCGACATCTAAAAATACCAATTAAGTCCGCGCTTTCACAAATGCGGTACAACGTTGCAAAAGGTGAGCGCCACGATCGGTGGCTGGTTGCCTCAACAATAGCCTGGATCCGGAGGTCCCGAACGTTAAACCGACCGCTTGCGTGACAATCCAACACGAGGCAGATTTGAATACGATCGCTAGACGAGACGATGGACACTCAATCTATGGATAAGTCAATGTGGCTAGAAATTCGATTTTCACTTGGCGATTCTTAATAGCGCCAAATGGTTCATTCAATTTATCTCGGCATTCCTCTGCTTCGTATAGCCAAACGGAGCTTCATTCCAGCTACCGCACTAAAGAAATAGAACGATCTGCTACACGAAAAGAATTATTCTAGCGTCAGGAATCATTCCCGCCGACATCCAATCTCATGACGGCTGCATGTCCTCGAGTCGTTCCAGAAGCATTTGGATCATCGAACCAGTAATCATGCACAACCTCAAACCCCGACTTCTCGTAGCATTTCACAGCCGCGACAGAGTTGAAGTTGACCAGAAGAGCCAGCATAACCTTCTTGCCCTCATTCTGTCTGACTGAAAGGTCCTTGGCGTGTTCGATCAGCTTATTTGCCAAGCCCTTGCGCCTCTGAGATGGAGGAACGTAAATCGCATTCAGGACGTAAGCAGACTCGATCTCATCCGCGATCGGACCAAAGTAAGTGCTTCCGGGTTCGAATTTCTGCAGATCTTCCCATGTTTTGGCTGCTGTCTTGGCTTTGAGCGGGCCATACAGAACAAGCGACGCGAGCCATGGTTGGTTGAGAATTAGCGAGAGGTCGTCAACTGAGCCGGGGTTTGGGTCGGAGGTGATGACGATACTGGATGCGAGCGGGTTGCTCAAGCGGGCTTCCCATATGTCCTTTGTGAACTCCGCTTCACGGGCATAGTTTGAGCTGAATGACTCTGGGGATAGCCGCAGAGAGAGCAGGCGGAATTCTTTGTACAGGTCCACGAGGTTACCCCATTGAATTGGGTTGGACAAAGATTTTGGTAAAGTTAGAACCTTGAGAGACATCTTGAAGCTGCTTTGAAACTTGGTTGAATATTTCTGGGCCCTGGTGGCTTAAGTCTGTTGGCTGAAGTTGATAGCCGCTGCTTATGACTCATTCGTATCACGCAATCATGCATACGATTCAGGCAGCCATCGTGAATCTCAAGAGAACACCGATATAACCTCGATTCACGTTTCTTGAGATCCTTAGAATCAGTTATTTCCAAAGATTGTTCAGCAAAGTGCTTGTCGGCCAAGCATGATCTCGCTCAAGCAACGTCACCAACTCCATAATCGCAGCCTGTTCTCCCGGGTCTTGGAAATACTCGCCGCACATGGATAGTCCAACAGCAGCAGTTACCATTCCCTCTTGACACCACTTCTGTGACATGGCCAAGCCGCAAACTCTTCTTGTTGCTTCTCGCATGAGCTCTTCTAGTGCTTTATGCGCAGCTCTGCCGCCGATGCCGAGTTGGATCTTGGTGTCGTGTACTGCAAGGACTATGCGTGCTAGTTCGATATGCTGGAGAGCTAGCATTTGGCATGGGCTGGTAATCCAATACTCTGGGAAATACCGACCTTCTGATGGGTTACGTTCTCGGTAGTAGAGTGGCGCGAAATGAGGTGGTCGTTTCTCATCCCAGTTTCTTTGGAAGTCTTTGATAGCTTCCCATTGCTGGGTTCGAGTTCGATTATCGATTGGCTGTTCGTAGTCTTCATCTGGGTAGCAGAATTTAAGAACATGGGCACACCAGATGAGAACTCGGTTGGTCCAGTCGTAGTCATCAGCAGCCAAGGTATCATCAAAGATGCCATAGTTTTCGACAGGCAGGATGGGTAGTCTAAAGGGACGACGGTGCATGAGAACGGACCAAATCTCTTGACGAAGCGCAATGAGGCAGGCTGAGAATCTGAGGGAAGAGAGAGAAGTTGCATAGACATCTGAGCCACGGGGAGGTTGGAGAATTAGGTGCAGAAGCCCATCTGCGTCGTTCTGGGATGCTTGGAATACGGCGCGGACTGCAATCGAGAAAGTCTCGTTATCGGTACCGGTGAAATGTGCTGGAATACTGTCAGGTTTGATCAACCGAAGAAAAGATGCCTCCTACTATCAACTTGCTCATGGTACCTCAATATTGTAATGGCAGCCAGAGCATCATCACTGCAGGAGTTGATCGGATCTGCTGATACTCCCATCAGATGTGAGATGCACTTGTTGTGGTAGTGAATAGCTGATTCCATATTAAGATCCGGGAGCTCGACACCTGCATACTCGATAATGCTATCTGGATCTTGGAGTGATGAGACCCGAGTGAGAAATCGTGCAGAGGCGGTACATATAGCGTTGAGAAGAAGAGGGCTGTGTACGGCTCGAAGAGGAAGTACTGAGACGTAATGATGGTCCCTATCAGTGGTGTCGAACTACCTCCACGGTCAGCTTATCTCATGAGAAATACCCTGCAATGGTCTTACAGCTCTTGCGAGTTTCTCAACAAAACAGCGAAGCAGGCAAGCTTCCTCCAGGCTTAGCGGCTGAGACGACTTTGCACTCAACAACGAAGTGGGATTATGAAGTTCCAGGTCCATCATGGAAGGAAGGGTATCCGCTTGATAAAGCTGGGAGTTGTATCCCCCAAAGGGTGACTGTTCATCAGTCCCACTTGGATACTTCCCTGTATCGTTTTCAGGAGAAGAGTGCTGCCATTGGGCGGAGAAGATAGGAAGTGATGCCGCTCCATAGTGATTGGTAGGAAGATGCGATTGTCCACTTGGTGATGAAGTAAGTGACAGTTGAGAAAGATCTTGAGATGTACCGAAGCCTCCATCTTCATAGCTTCGGGATGTCGCAAAAGCATCCGGGGGTTCTTCTGAAGGTGCTTGAGCCAGAGACGTGTCGTGCTCATCGGGTATTTGCGGGTTGCCTTTTGATAACGTCTGCAAAACTGAAGCAGCAAAATCTAAACTTTCGGATTGAGATCCATTTTCGGAAGAAGGAGATTCAGCGGCGGTGGGACGGGAGTGGCGAGACGCAGAGTTTGTTTCGTCGACAAAGGAAATCGCGTTTGATTTTTCTGTCAATCTCAGTTAGAACAAATACAATCAAATATGTTGATGAAACAGACTGTGATTTGATGTTTCTATCCATGTTTGGTTCGGATCAAACTTGAACGTGTTTTCACTCGTGATGAGCTTTTTGATGCGGAACTTCTTAGCTCGAGCGCAACTGATTGAAAGCTTTTTACAATTGGCGCAGGGATTCTCATTATCGCCTGTACCCGTCAGTCTGACTTCTTCGACTCTTAATACATTCGGCATACATTTCAGATGCTTTTCTGTCAGTGGTGGTTAGCTTGATCGAGGTATCCTTGCCGGCTTTGACGAACCTCGACATTGATCGCAGGGCTTGGTCCGAGTCCGAGGCGTCGAACTCATGATCGCTCAGAATTGAGAGATACGCTTTTAAGAGGTACGAGACGGATTAGGAAAGATTTCGCCGGGTTTGCAGGGAGAGGAGCGTGGAGTTGGCATAAGAATGAAATCTCGGGGAGTTGGCCGAGGTGAGGGCAAGGATGTGAAGTTGGCGTAAGGATGACTTTAGTTCACTGCTTCCCCGCATTTTAGCGTGTCTGATGACCTAACGGTGTCGAGTTAGTGGATTGATCCACTGGAGCTCTCCGCAAGGAAGAATCACAGTTCTGGCAGGAATTTGTTGCATAATTAAGGTATGGTCTCTTAAGCATAAGTAGAGGCAAAGCAATGACTCAATCGCTGCAATCATAAAGTCTTAGCTTTGATATGAAGCTTTTATAAGGTCAAAGGTAGAAGAGATCATGCATGAGGATGTTATACAGATTAGCCAGAATGGCCAATTCAGAATCGGATTACAATAAGACATAAAAAAGCCATAGTTAGACGTTTTCAAGCTTTGCGAGAACATTGACTATTGGAATAATGCAGCTAAATATATATGATGGGTCCTCAAATACTCTGCTTAACCTCAGCATGCTCAGCACCATGAACATGACTAGCCCAAACCTGATGCCGAATGCGTTCGTAGACAGCCTCTTCATCCGCAACAGCATGATCTCCAAAGAGCTCAGAAATCTGCTCCAGAGACTTGTTGGCTGTTTCAGGGACAAGGAAGAAAGAAAAGACGGAAGCAAGAGAGCAGAAGATTCCAAAGAAGAGATAAGTACCCCAGCCGATCTTGATAATCATCTCGGGAACAACCACGCCAATGATGAAGTTGGCGAGCCAAACCATGGCAGTAGCGGCTCCAACACCCTTTGCTCGGCGGGAACTGGGGAATACTTCGGCGGGGAGAGTCCAAGCCAGAGGTCCATATGAGCAAGCGTAGCAGAGGACGTAGATGTCTGAAGTTGTCAGCATGGAGTCTGATAGTTGACGTGAGAGAACTTACAGATCAGGGCAACTCCAAACCAGCCCATTCCTGGGTTAGCTTCCCATTTACCGTCAAACTTGCCGACGACGCCGGACATGATGAGATGAGGAACAGCCATGGCGGCACCACCGAAGATGGCAAGCTTGCGGCGACCCATCTTGTCGAGGTAGAGGAAGGTAGGAATACCAGCGGCCTACGATTCTAAAATCAGTATGCCTCAAGGACATGTGCTAGAGACATCGACTCACCAGCTGACAAATATTCACCATTCCAGACAGAATCAGCGCCATGTTGTCATCCTGCCCGAGCGCCTTGAAGAAAGTGGGAGCATAGTAGACTGAAATCATTAGAACTCTTTAATATAAGTAGGTTTATGACTATTCTTACCGAAAGCATTTATTCCAGAGAACTGTTGGAAGAACGGGATTCCAAGTGCAACTGCAGTACGCTTGAGACACCTGGGTCGGAATAGGTCACCCCATTGCTTCAGCTCCAAAATGATACCGCTGTCGTTGGGATGTTCCTGAGAAAGAATCTCCTGCTGGAAACGAACTTCAGTGAGGATTCCTTTCCATTCAGCCTGTACGCGATCGTCGGTTGCGGGGACGCGACGGAGTTGGGCGAGGGCATGAAGAGAGTCGTCGTCTCGTTGGCGCATGACGAGCCACCTGGGAGAGTATGGGAAGAAGTGGATTCCGAGGCCGACTAAGAGAGCAGGAGGCTAACGTGTGAGGTCAGTATTAGTAGTTGAATCGGTGGAAGCTGGACAAACCATCTGGAGAAGGAATGGCAGTCGGAAGGACCATTCACTGGCCATATCCTTCGTGCCATAGGTAATCCAGTAAGAAATGATTGCTCCAATGACAATACTGTCCTATGTTAGATACCTCTGACGACTTGGTCTAGAATTCTGACATACGAAAGAGCTTCAAGAACCAGAAGAGAGCCTCTCAGGTTCGGAGGGGAGATCTCAGAAATATAAAGAGGTGCACCCATTGCCAGAGTCCCAACGCCAATTCCACCGATAGCTCTTCCAGCGACAAGTTTACCATAGTTATGAGCAGCAGTTTGAATGATAGCGCCGATGGTGAAGAAGACAGTAGCTACAGTCATAGCCCACTTTCGAGAGATGCGGTCTGCGAGGTATGGGAGAAAAAGACATCCAACAAAGGCACCAAGTTCGAGCATGCCGGTCATGAAACCAACATTGAAGCCATATCGAGGATGGCCAGGGGCTGTTTCAGGGAATTGGTCGTGGAATTGCCTCATCGTGAGGATGATACTAATAACGCCCTGATCTGGTAACTGTTAGCTTGGAGATGAGTCTTGCAACCAGAGACTTACCATAGCCGAAGGAGAATCCTCCAAGAGAGGCCAGAGTAGCAGCTCCCAGAACATAAGGAGACCTGACGATCCCGCTTAAGCCATTACTATCATATTCAATGGCAGCCTCGGCTTGGGGCACTGGTTCAGTCTCCTCGACATGACTGGGCGAGTTGCTGAGAGATTCTTTGGACATGGTGATTGAAAAGTCGTAGAAGAACCAATTGATAGATGAAAGTCGTAGATCTGGTGACTTGTAATTTCCCCAAGGTTGAAGGGATCATGAGCCTTTATACTTGGCGACAGATAACAGAACCCATGAAGTTGACCTCATCCTGGCATCAACCCCACAGGATTTAGTCTGGGGAAGACCCTAGCTCCGGGGAAAGCCTTTGGAGTTGGCCCACTCATGGCATTAGTGGCTTTCTTGGAGAAAAAGCCTTCGTGCTAATTGGGTTTTTTAGGGTAAGTTTTCGGCGAAACATTTCCATTTTGGAACGACCCACGGCGAATTTCCCCAGACTAAATTCTGTCGTCTTGGACTAGATACCCAATTGGAAAGCTGCGAATTGACATTGGTTCGTAAAAGACTATCCCTCGCGGAGCTGCTTCGGTATACTGCTCCCTTACTTCGGCACGAGAAGTCTCAACGAACGGTGAATGATACCGTCCTGGATGAATCGCCATATCCTATACAAGTCCCCATCATCATACACCGCATTTGTGAAATGAACGTATGACCGGAGATCAGACCGATTCAAAGCCTTGATCTTGGACAGAATATAATTCGATGCATTTCTTTCATCATCACCTCCCATATAATCTGGAAATTCATCGCGCAGTGGCTTTTGTGTGAGTCGCTTGGCAAATCCCTTGGAATTATTCAAGATGACAATGACAAATGAATTCCTCAACCAATATAAATTGACGGTTGATTCATACTGGAGCAAGGACTCGCCGCTTAAGCTACTCAAATCGAGAACAAATATCACGGCTGTTGCTGTCTCAAGTTGAGGAAATACTTTTGCCCGCTTCATTGCGTTGCCAAGATCTGTCAGTCGCATGGTGAGCTGGCCCATGTTGAAAGCAGCCTCCACGCAGCCAGGCAGTGGTGTTGGACAACATATAGCATCCGAGTCTGTCGATATATAGTCATCTTGCATGATCCTTTCGATATTGTTCAAAAAGCTAGGAGAACGCGTCAGTACGGTCAGGTCAGGCCAAAGTTATCAAAAAACATACTAGTCAACATCCTCTGGAAGCACCAAGGTTTCGTCAGCCATAAAGGCCTTTGTCGCTGCATGCTCCATTATTGTGCGGAACAATTGGACAACCCATGGTTCAAAACCATTGTCGAGATCCAAGTCTTCTTTGCCGCATATCAACACATCTGCCAAGAACGTCCGTATGGCATCTCCTCTGGTGGCCTCGCTGACCAGGAGCTTCTTTGCCAGAAACTGAACACTTTCCAAAACCGTGCCGAGGATTATGGGGCGGAACAGCCGTAGTTGCTCAGTTGTGTAACATTGTGGTTGGCCGTCTGATAACCGCATCTCTTCAAACACTCGTTTCCTCGACTTTGAACCAAGGATGACTACTTTGACCTCTCGTTTAGCTGATTTTAAATCATCTTTCAAGTTCTGATCAATACGTTGGGATTCCTTGGTTTGAAGTTCCAAGCTGCTCGTGGTTCTGCTTCGTCTTAGGGGTTGCATCTCTATGCCCATGGCGTTGCGTGTCAAAGAATTCATTCGTTCTCCAAAATTTGTTGATGACAAAGACAGGTCTTCTGATGTATCAGTCTCTGTTTGTGTAAGAGCAGTTTGCTCCTCATCTGTGGGTTTATTCGTGAAGGTAGTCTGGTTAGCTGAGATTAGTTGGTGGCCTTGCTGCGTTGTATCGTCCGAGCGGTGACTGCTGCTTCGCCGCGTTGTTGCAAGCTTCCGAATCCATTTGTCGTACACTTTGCTGATGAAAAGTTCCCGATCGAACGCAAACTGAACCGACCATCGCGAAGAACTGACGGATGTAGCGGTGACTATGGAGTCTGAGTCTCGATGGACAATGAGAGATGCAGTGTCTCGGTCCATGACCTCCAGAGCCTGAATGATTTTAGGCTGTTGCAAGATTCTAGTTTGCTCTTCCAAGGCATTTCTGCGGTAAAGTTAGAGTTTTCAAGAACGTTGGAAGATGAGCAAACTCACGAATTGCATGCACTTAAAAGAAGTGTTAATGTATGTGTCTGTTGGTCAACCATCCGTTGAATTTGCTCCATATCTTTCGTCTTGAACAGAAAGGAAAGCTTGGAACCAAGCTCTAGATCTCCAGCTACTGTTTTCTCAAACTGCGACACTTCGCCATCAATCTTGCCAATGAGAAGCCGACAACACGTTACACAGCTGTCTACTTGCATCACCAGTTGATATGATTGTTCGTCGGGCCTGGACTCTGTCCATTTTTGAATTTCAAAAAGTGCAAACTTGAGGAGGTTGAGCTGGTTCTCGAAGGCGAACACGGCGAGGTCGGCGATTTTCCAGGCTTGTCGCATGTCGCATACCGTTGTGATTGTTTTGGTGAGGACATCGATAATATTCGCGATGGCTCCCGCTGTTCCGATGATTGACAAGGGATCCGCCATGTTGACGTTGCGATTAGGGTTTTGAGCAAAGTTGTCGCGGATGTTGATAAGTCAAAAAACAATGAGTGGGAGGTGAGGTACGCGTTTGCTGGAGCCGCCCCTGAAATGATCTGACGTGAGTGGTTCGCAAATCTGCCTCGCGAGGCTGTGCAGAATTGGAATTTCACGGAGTCAGTCAATTGACAAGGCTGAAAACCTTCACCCTGATGTAATTGGAAATACCAGAACGGAGTGAATTTCTTATTGTTTATTAGTACTTAGATATGTTTTGATTTATTCTTTAGTATTATTAGACAAGAACGCAGCTCAAAGACTTCTTCTAGATATATACAGTTATGTAAAGGGTTTGAACATAAAGCAGCTCGCCAAGCATGCTGTTTACCTCTTTGAAATGGCTTTACTTGGACTAAAATATCTATAGTACATTCTAGTATTGCAGTACTCATGTTGCGTTGCGAAGAGACAATATGTGGAGTTTCTGATAGAGAATAAATCCCTGAGAGACTGGCTTCATGTTATGGATCAACAGTTCTGCGAGGAGCATTATCGCGCAAATGTCTGTATTGCATAGTTCCCCAAAGCGACTGGGTGATAAGAATGAAGGAAGGTAGCAAACATCTCTCTCCGCCATTGACTGATGACGATAGGAGTCTTTGGGACGTCCGCTTCGTGCTGGAGGCAGACTTGGGTCGGAGAGGGTGAATAGCAAAGGTTGATCTCGTGACCGGTTTCCAAGCCGACCTTTGTTACACCATCAGTGGGAACATTCGAGAGGCTAAGGTAAGCTAAGTTTTGCCTTTAAAGCTGCGGTCCCCGGTGCGACAACGCTCTTGATTGGCTCGAGCGTTTATGAAGCATCACCAGGCTTTACTAGGCCATCGCCCATCCCGTCAGGATCGATCTGCCTAGGGCATCCGAGACGCAATTTAAACTTCAATTGACTTTACTAGAACTTATTAAGGTTAAACTTATTACAATGATGCAATGTTGGTGACATCGAAAAGTTGGTTGGTATCAGGCCATGTCATCATTCTTCACACTCAATGATTGTAGTTGGGCAAAATTGTACTGAGGAGCTTGGCTTCAAACCTTCAAGGACACATGTTGAGCAATTACTATGTTAATTATGTGGTACTTCTTTCATTGTCTCTTCCACGGCCATTCTTTTAGCCTTGGATTCCACAAAAACTGGGAATGAGGAGCAACCGGGAAGATGCACCAGGCTTATGTGGCTCAAATCAGCACTGGATCCATATCCTCTTCAGGAAGGTAGAAGCAAGATAGATTCATTGAGTTTGCCGGGCTCAAAGAAGCCACTCTAGGCAGCAGAATAGAGCAAGTGGCCCACTTGACGATCCCTCCAGGAAGAGGACTTTAATTGTCTTTGGCGTATATTATCGCACCAAATACCCCAGCTCATGGAACAATTCTGGGGAACTAAACCATGCCATACAGTTCAAAAACTATACTAGGCTGACTATGCGGCATTTATCCGAAACCCTGCGTCTAAGCTTAAATCAAGGCAGAAGACAGAATCCTTTGAATCCCACGGGGCAACGATGGGTCGAGGAACTTGTTCTACTCCAGTTATCATGCCGATCTATACTCACTCTCTCGGCTTCATGGTACTCCGTATAAAGAGTATGCCTTGCTAGGAGACCTGGCAAAAGGTATATAAGTCATGGGAATGCCTCGCTGAGGAGAGAAGCTTTTATCATCAGTATCAGCTCTACTTCTCCTCGATATCAAGATGCGATCTCTTACCTCTATTCTCTTATTCCTCTCCACAGCTCTTGCGGTTGATGTCCAGGTAACCTGGCGCCTCGAGAAAGATACCAAGGCATCTTCTGTGAGCGCTACGGGCTCTGATGGCAAGGTCATCGCAGAGGCCTGTGGCAGTGTCATTCATGCCAAGTATCCTATTGACTTCTCAGATGTCGATGATACTGGCAGTGGTAATTTCACTGTTGGTGATGCCAGCTATCTGGTGCACTCCCTGCCTGAGTGGTCCGGTGGGCCTGTATGCTCTCGCATCTTCAACCCTCAGTATACTCTCGTACAGTGCTCAAATGTCACCTGGGACTCTACCGATGTGGTTAAAGACAAGGCAGATGACTGCTTTAGCGATAGTACCACCGATGGCGAGCTGCAGTCCCTCCAGAGGAGGAGCTTGAGCCACGAGATGCATTCTCGAGGCGCGGAGCTTGAAAAGAGACAGACGTTTTGCTCCGGCTGGTTCACTAGAACAAGGCTCGTCGGGGATGGTCACTACTCCCCAATATTCCTGACATGATAGTCTCTGACTCTACCAAACAGGCGATCCCCATCAGAATTATTTCCACAAGCAGCTATCGGTATGTAAATGTCCCTTTGCCTCATTCCGGCAGTATGTAAGATTTGTACTGACAAACTGCAGGAAAACATCAACTGCGCCAATGCTGCATCCTGCTCCGTCGGTCAAACTGATTCAGTATCCTACACTATTGGGTGGACTGCCAGTGCCGGCGGTCCAGCTTCTAGCTGGATCTCGGGGGGCTTCAGCGTCAGTGAAAGCTGGACGACTGGAAATAGTTACACCTGTAACGGTGGGAAAGGGGAGACAATCTGTATTTGGTACAACATTGCTCACACAGCTTGTAAGTCGCTTGAGGCAGAGAGCTTGGGGCAACACTGACAAATATTAGACACCGTCCAAGAGTACACCAAGAACACATGTACTGAAGGCAGTGGAGGGACCCCTTATGTTATGTACTCACCTAATGAGAGCAACAGGGGCGGTGGTTATTACTGTGTTATCGGTACTTGTCGATCTAAGGGTGATGGCTACTGGGATTACAATGGCCGTGCTGGTGGTCCTTGAAGCAACATATAACTTCATCGCCATCTACCTGCACCTAAAAGATATGTGGAACTAGCGGTAGTGGCTTTCTACAGAAAGCATCCGTTCTTTTGAGTGTTCTGAACTGTTTATGTATTACTTTCTTTGACAGAGGGATTATATCTAGTTTTACGCCTAGCTGTTTATAAATCAAGTTATGGCGACCTTGTTTAATCGTGTTATCTCAATGGGAACTTGAAAATGCTTCATGTTGGAAGTACTTATCGCTATCAATCGTTGGACTCTGAAGACGGTAGGATGTTCTCGTGATGACAGCCACGACCAGTCTTACTACCTAAGCTACTAAGAAAACTGTGATTTCTACATGATTGTGCCTCATTTGTAGCGTTTTGGTTGGCCGCCGTCCTCGGCTTTGCGCCAAGGATTACCACCCTGACCTCTACCTTCCTCTATTCCATCAAAGATTTCGAGGCTGTTTATTGGGTTGAGGCTCTTTAGCTTGAACTTTCGGTTCATTTATTGCTTTGTTGCGTCTAGGAAGCTGCATTTCCATGCTCGAATTCATATTGGTACATTTCGAAGGGCTGGCCTATTCTCCAAACTACTATCGACATGATACTCAGACCATCATATGCCATATACTTGAGAAAGAATGATAGGAGTGTCTTAATCTCAAGCAAGGACTGAGGTCAGTCTGCCAGGTGTAGAAGTCTTATTCACCATACACGCGCTCATTTCCTCCAGGTATTCTGTTGCCGTTCGGTTTTACTGCACGAAACTTGCTGCTACTCAAGAATGTGTTAGCTGGTGGTCAAAAGAAATCCTAATTTGAGAAACATACCATCTATGCATTTAGAAGAGTGATTACCAGCCTTCAACGGATAGGTCAGTCCCTGGCCATGCCTTGGCAGCGTCTCCTGACTTGGGCTCTCCAAATACATCGTCAGCACCACTTGACTTGAGAGCGCTCCATCCCTTGGCTAGATTATCTGGCTTGGTATTTCACCAATCGTCTGTGTCCTCCTGCATAGAGGGAGGGGCCACGGAATTATTTCCCTCCCCGTGGAATTCTTCATTAGGATCAATGGAGGGATCCCCTGCACGTGGACCACACGGCTCTTCTCTTTGAACCAGTTGATGAGAGAGTTAAACATATCAGACCTGATTTGGGTCTTTGCTCCAACTTCAGCAGTCGCATGTATGGACTGGGACGTGCTGGGCACCTGGGTAGTGTCGGCCGCCTGCGATGTTTCAATATCCCCGAAGATGACCAAGAATAGTTTATGGCGGCTTATAGCAACGTTAAGTCTCTGAGGTTGGGCAGTGAAGCATGGACCAGTGCTTTTTTCCACCGCAAGGTAAAGGACCACCATGTCGTTTTCTCGACCCTGATACGAATTGATGGCCGCAGCCTCAACATCCTTGAGGGGAGTATTGGAGGCCAATTCAGCACGAATATGCCACAATTGAGTTCTCTTTGCTGATTTAAGCTTTCAACCACAATGTCAACTGCAAATAACACATCTGAATATGCCACAGGTTGGAACGGTGGGGCGTGATGGCGACGATGCGATCGGCGGGGAACCGAACCGCCTTGACAAAGTCTTCAGGCCACACCATCATGCATGCGATTGCACGTGGATTGTGTTTTGACTTTGTGATGTCATCAATGCTGCAAGGTCATTCCTTGCAGTTCACAAAGACAGGAGACATTACATTGTGTCCGGGGGTAGCTCCAGTCCGTCGTGGTCGACTAGAAATTCACAGATAGCGCTGGCGAAGGGATAGTTTTCTAACGCAGCTGACGGACCATACGAGGACTGAGTTTCCAAATGGCTATAAGTGAGACGAAGCGACAAATCGAACATTCCTTGTGCCATTCGGTGCTGCTTGTAAAGGTGGAAGGCCGGGATCTTCAGGTAGAGGAGCTAAAGCTCAAACTTGAAATCTGGCTCTCGGGCTCGAGTTGTAATTTGAAGAGAATACTTTCGATGCAGTGCTTTTAAGATAGCCGAGAAAGCTTGGCGTCCTATCCGAAGCGGTTGACTGCGGTACCGTCCGGATACATTTCTCCCATGGTTAGAAGTGTTGGTGGGGGTTGCTTCTCGTCTCCGACAGCGAAGATGGGTCGCATAGAGTTTCCATACACCATGAGTCCGTCCTTCCGATGCATGGCCGCCGCGTCATCGAACAAGGCCGCCTGGGCATGCGAGGCATTGAAGCTTTTGTAGGGTTGGGTACCTGCCGTAGCCGGTGTCACTGTCACAAAGTTTGCGCTTCGGACAACCTCACCCATCCAGGGACCGATATCGTTGCGCAGTGCAAGCTTCTTTCCTTGGGCTTTCTGACTCCCTTCATACTCAGTGAAAGTCATAGTCTTGTGGGCGATTTGGACGAGAGTGGTGAGTTCCTTGAAGTTCTTCGTCGTAACTTCGACCTCGGAATCTTCCGAATCGGAACTGTCTGAACTATCCTCATCTGGAGGGCATGAGGGACCAGGGTCCGCGAGGCCTTGAAGCTTTGTATGTAGCTTGCACAAGTCTTCATTCTCTATGGCATCATTCAGCTGTTCAACGCCCCCGAGTTCAGGACCAAGGTCACGAGCTGTCCACCAACATGAGGGCGAGGAGTATACTGCCCATATGTGTTGATCGGTGTTCTTTTGGGGCTGGACCCTCATTTAGCCTCTCAAACCTTATCACTTTCATGCTGGAATCTCCAAGGAGTAGGATATAGCTCATTGTCCTCTTTAACATGATCACCACGGAGCAGCGACATGAGCTTCCCAGCCTCCTTGTGAAGTGCAAAGCCACACACTGGCATTGGGGGACGAAGCTGTGGTCCTTGTTGCGATAACTTTCCCCAGAGTCCTCGAGCCGCGTGGAAGGTGTTCCTCGGTATTGTCGCATGCGATGTTCGAAGGAGCGGAAATGATGCATTGGGAATGGCTTTCACTGAGCTCAATAATAGAATCAATCACCGCAGTGATATGAGACTAAGCTCTCTGTGCTGGTTTAAGCTCTCAGCTACAAATCTCAACTGAAAATAACACATCTGTCGCATGAGACTTTCCAGATCCAGCCGAGGCTGAGATGACACCCATGCTGAAGAGCATCTTGGAGAAATGCTGTTGGAAGCGGTCTTCTTCATTTGCATTTAAACGGCTGATGCCGCGCAGAACATCCGATATGTAATTAAGATGTAGCAAAGCGAAACATGAGACCGCTGAGGAGATTTGTCGTTCACGAGGCTGGGGCTTGAGAGGAGTACCCGAAGACCTTCTTCTGAGCTGGCCAGATATTGTGCTATCCTGACCAGGTTATGAGCTAGATCTGGTATTTGCAGTTAAGAACTTATAGCAGAAGCTATCAGTCGCAAGGGATCTCATGGTGATGCAGCTGGAGGTCCCGGCGTTGAATAATGATTCGGTTCCGGCATTTCTCTGTTTAACTTTGGCTTTGTGGTCAAAAGAATCTCGTTTGAGTTGCTTCGAGGCCGAGGGGTCTTCTGTGCTGGAGATGTATATCACATCTTCACCACTGAAGGTTGTAGAGGATGGCTCCATAGATGCAGGGAAGTAGGTGCTGTATAGCTACCAAGCTTCTCGAATGAATGTGTCAAGACATCGGTGATGGTGTTCAACTACGCGTCAAAGATTAGACAATGAATATACAGGTATGAAAAGAAGCAGACTCACCCAGGCCTTCTCGGAGATCAGACCAATAACCATCTTCTTTGTCTTCTAGCCATAACTCGGGTGGCGGTTCTGGTGAAGCCGCCTGGATCCAACCGATGTTCAAATACAACTTGGACATGCATCATACCGAGCGCTGTGTCGCGGAGCTCAGAGTTGTCGTAACGGGTAACGATGGCGGACTGTCCCGTAGTTGGCCTTGGTCACCCTACCGCAGGTTTGATCATCCATCAGTATCTATGAACAATGTTAGCGCTTTCATGTCTGTTTCTGACTTCATCTTTGGACATACTTGCGAACATCATCGTCGTAGTCGAAAGGTGTTGTATTCGAATAGTGAGGGTTCGCGAAGATCTAAAGTTTTGTAAGACCCATCGCAGTAAACCGGGATGCTTTTGAGCCAGATGTATTATTTATAGTTTAGACTAGTGTCTAAGAGCTGATAACACCTCAGAGGACATAGTTGAAACTCTCATCTTGCATGCAAGATCTTGTATATATATATGGAGTTTGATACCAGGGTGTATCATTAGTGTCTTGGTCAGGCTCTCTGAGTTGTCATAAATATGCCACGCTCCGCTTCCATATAGTCAAAACGTGGCATTTTCAGTTGAATACGATCTCCGTTGATGTGAGATTTGAAAGGCGGTGCGACTTGTTTGTTTTCGAATGCTAGCGAATTGTTAGCTTATGCTGTTTGCCGCCGGAGGATTTCCCAAACTTGAATCCTTCACTGCGTATGTAACAAAATGATGCTTACCTGCTTACATTCGTTTTGTGGTTAAGGTAATATTTGAAGGTCGATTGCAGCGGATGTTTGGCAGGGTGGAGGGGGGAAAAAGAGCAAATCGTAAGGCTCGAGCAACGAGCTTAACCGCTGCGGGGAGGCAATCAAACAGTCACGTGAAAGAGGCCTTGAGTGAGGTGCTTCGCGCCATGTCACTGCTGGGAACTGCACGGTGAGGATATCGATGATATTTGCATTTGTTATGTACCGCTGATGCACAAACACATCTCTGTGTGCGCCTATCAGCATCCATTCAAGGGTTTACGTAATAATGGCTCTGACGCTCACATAAAGTCCAAGGCAATCAGTCCATGGGTATGAGTATAGGTTTTTTCGAGGAATGAATTGGAAGGGGAGTCTTGGCAAGATTCTCAGCTGCTATACACTAGGAAGCGAGAGACCTTCTGACCTTAAACCAAGATACGACAACTAATACAAAGCCCCACTAAATTATACTAAACTTACCTAAATCTTTTCCATGTTTAGGTTAACTAATCTAAACTTTCATCCATTCTCTTAGGCGTAGTCTGGCATAAGTACCTAGTAACTTATGTGTTCATGACCTTCAACTTTGACCTTGTTGGCCCTTGTACTGGCTGACCCGCTCTTGTTCACAGTACCTATGGAGTGCTCAACATTTTCTGGAGTTTGACACAAACGGTTATTAGGTAGGTCTTAGCATTATGAGTGGTGTGTATACTTTAGGCAGTGCATACAGTTTATACGGTGCATCAAGGTCGGCTGTCTCGTTCTCTCTGCCGAATAATTAGTTTTCAGACCAGATAAATGCATCAGAAGACCGTACACATTATCATCTCGTCTACTTTTGCATTCCTGTGTCTTTCTTGCCAGAGGAATAAGATTCCAGCAGGAGCCTCCATATGTATAGTAGATCCTAGAGACGGCACTAAGGGCGATTTGCGTCTTACCGACGCTACCAAGATAACTGTCTTCTAGCTTGACGAGACGCCGCTTGGTATTTATGATGGGTTGTTTATCAAATTCTCTGATAGCATGTCAAGCGTAACAGAGGTAGGATTCATCGGCTGTTGGAAGTGGGAAAATCATGTATCACTCTTCTCACATGTACCTTTGCCCAATTCCTTTAAAAGGTTGTGCTTCTAAGTAGTGATTTCTTCAGCCATGTTTGATTTATCGATGGAGCTGACAAACGAGTGTTCAAATTCAATTCTTTGTGTCCAAAAGTAAAGGTATTTTCATGCTCTCTCGATGCATGATGTCGGGTGCTTAGCCACAAGTTCTTCATTATTGCGAAGTAGAGGTGCGGGCAGAGGAGCCATGCACCCGAGCTTCTGATTATCAAGGTGCCACCTCATCACCCATCAGGACTATTCACCCAAGACCCTGCATCAACTGCAAGGCTTCGGGGATCAGTCTGTCATAAAAGTACCTGATGATGACTTTCTTCAGAGAAGGAACAGCCTTCAACTGCGCGTCCACTTGTGACAAAGTCTTATGGAATGACTCGCTAGGAGTTTCTCCGGCGAGACCGAAAGCGTTACCCTTATGTACGTGGAGCTCTAAAGTCTTGAGATTGACACAATAGTCCTGGGGAAGCTTCAAGTGCGCATTCCTTCCTCCGCAAGTCCTAGCGCTTCAGGCTGTCCCTGTACCGTCTGAAGTACAGGAAAGCTAAGGGACATGTGAGATAGCAGACGCGCATAGGTTGGCGTGGGTGAGACTAGGAAGGTATGCAGGATCGAGGCTTCGCATTGCGTTGTGGTATCGACAAGGTTGAAGTGGTTCGAGCCGTAGAAAACCGCGTTGGTCTCTTGCTCATTGTACTCTCGGAATTTTGCCAATGTCAATGCAGGTCATTGTGTTGGTTTGCCGGACACAAAGAACTCTATCGGTTCGGTGATTCTTGGAAGACGGATATCGGACTTGAGACAACGAGCACTTTGTTGTAGGTATCCTTGCGAGCCTCTGGCGACATATTGGACAGGACATCTTTGGCTGAGCCAAGTCCGACATCCTCGCCAGATGCCATAGTTTTGAGAGTGCCTGCGGGTAGAAGATGAGGAGGAAGATGTGGGTGGTGGTAAGAATTCTCTTGTCAGAGAGAAGAAAAAAGGAAGAGGGAAAAAGGCAAACATACGGACGACGATGGGAAAGTGGATGTTGAGGACGGGTAACCTCCACCGTACAATACGCCCCCTTCATGTTTGTCAGGGTGTGACCGGCGCCACACTCTGCCACAGATCTTTAGATAACGATATATAATTAAAATAGCTATTTTATTAGAAAAATTAAAAATACAAAGAATTATGTATCAATTTTATATATAAAGTAAATAATATGTTTATAAGTATTTTAATAAAACAGTCAGAATCTAGTTTATAAGGCAGGGGTCCCCTGCTATTCTGTCACAACCTGACAAACATACAGGGGGCGTATTGTCGTCCCATCGCCGTTATGAGGTGAGTGTGGGGCTGGCATTCTTGCATTCTTGCCCAATCATGGAGGCATCATTATTCTCTGCGGCAAATAACCGGGAAAACAGGCTAGAGTCGTAGCCGAGCCGTGGGTAAGCCTGAGAAGTCGAGCTTTTGGACGGTACATCATCCAACGGTGCAGAAAACCACCCGAATTAACTGATGCTACGTCGCGCCCTGTTCAGTCAGGTCCAATATGTCGTCGACCAGTCTGCCACAAGAAGGCTTTCGATTCAAATTACGCCAGCGGCTGAATCTCTTCCGTCATCGTAGTGACAATCGTAGTTTGGAGGCTTCGACAGGTACTGGTGCTATCGCAGCTAGGTCAGACTATGTTTAACCCTTTCCCACAGCTTGCAGATGGATCTTCGGCAACTAAGCTAAGCGATGCAGTCCTCACACCCCTTCTACAAATGCCCCTTCTACGAGGCACACGAGCAGTGCTGTTCAGGGTGAGACAGCCACCGCTATTGACCAAACCGAAGAAAACACCGACCTCGCTGTAATTCCTGTAATTGGTTCAGTGCTCCAAGATGGCCCTCCTTCTACTACTGTCTCTGGCACGGCCGTTGCGTCCTCTTCTGCCCTTACTACTGAGGTGGTAACCACTCCTGAACCCGGAATTGAGGTGGCCGTTACTCCTTCAGACCTTTGGAGTAAGGCTTACGAGGAGGCAGTACAGAACATGGGTCAGGATGTGGACGTTGCCATCCTTAAGGGAGAAAGCATCGCGCAGCTATTCAAAGATCTCGAGGGTGTTGACAAGGATGCAACCAACGATTCCGTATTTCTGCGAGGAGTGCGATATTTGAGTTCCATACAGGTGCCGTTGGAACGGTTCAAGTTAGCATTAGACCTGACAACGCCCCTAACAGCCCTTGAGCCCACTACTTCTACCGTCTTTGGAGTTATTAGAGGTGTTACAGCGGTGAGCCTTGCTGCAAAGCCTACATTATGGATCAATCTGTAGGTTCGGATTAACTAAATTGTGTGCAGGTAGCTATCAGCATTTCTACCGCCGATCTTGAATTCGCCAAAAAGATTGGAGAAATGTTGGAGCAGATTTCGTATATTGATGATTGTGATACTCTCGGTCAGAGAGAAGGCAGAACAGACATTCATAGGGTATGATCTCGTTTGTTTCTACATCCCTATTGAATACGCCTTCTTACATTATACAGGCACTCGTATCGGTCTACCAGAAGCTTCTCGAGTTCTATGTGTACGCCTACGAGTTTCTGTCGAAGAGAAGGACTAAACTGGTGTTGGCTGTGATATCAGATACCGGCAAGTTACCAGATATCGTCAAAGACTTTTTGAAGCAAGCCGAGCATCTCCGAAAGATTGTTGAGAAAGCCACGTTTGATATAGTCCAAGACATCAAAACCATGCTTTACGACGAGAAAAGTATGTCCCAGTTGCAGTTTAAGCACTTTTAGTGCGCTCTTACTAATTGAGTCAAGTTTTTCAATGGTTGGGTCGTGACAAGCTGTCCCAACAGAGTCGCCGCCACGTCGAATTACAGTCCCTTCGAGCTGATTCAGCTTGTGAATTTATTCTAGAACAGCCTGAATTCAAAAGCTGGTATCGAGCATTTGATTATCAGCAGTTGGTCATCCTTGGAGATATGGGAAGTGGCAAGAGCGTCATGATGAGCTTCCTCATTGATGAACTATGTCGGCGGAGAAGCCATCAACTGCCACAACCTATGGTTTTGTACCACTACTGCCAGAATGACGAAACGGGGCACGCACTGTATATCTTCTCTTGTTTAATTCTGTCACTCCTTCAACAGCGGGTTGGGTTGAAAAAAACTTTTTTTGACTGGTACAGACAAGACCTACTTAACGGAAATTTCGAGCCTTCGACGAACGTCCATAAGTTGGTTGGGTTCTTTCAGAGGACCGTTGAAGAACTTGATCGGCCGCTTTATCTAGTACTCGATGGCATGGACGAGTGCGACATGATATCTCGGAACATCCTTCTCAACTCGCTGCAAGGTCTGTCACAGAAGACCCCAGGGTTGAAAGTTGTGTTATCTTCTCGACCCTGGGAAGAGATACTGGACCAAGTAGGCGGGGTTCCAAAGATCGATATCAGTACCGACCCGCAACGCGATAGAATCATCGCCGAGAAGACCGTTGAAACGCAACTGGCTTTTCTAACTACGGATATCAAACAGCTCGTCGTGGAGAGACTTTCTGGTCTTGCGCATGGAAGTGCTATATGGACGAGGATGACAGTCGAGACCATTGCTCGCCTTAATATAAGGGCAGTTGGCCGCATGAAGAAGTTCCTAGATAATATGCCACAGCCACGGAATCTCTCTGAATTATACACCAATCTATTCTTTCGATGTGCTGGGGAAGAACCAGAAGCCCAGAACATGGCAGCTACGGCTTTGGAAATTTTAGGCGTAGCTCGGAGGCGGCTAAGTATTCTTGAACTTGCTTGGGCTGTCGCATTGGGTATGGCTGATCCAGATGTCACAACTGTCGCCCAGGTTGCCGAAGAAGTTGACGAGCGAGCTGTCATGGCCCTCATTCAACCGTTCGTTGCCAGCATCGATTTTAGCGATCCCAAGAAACGCCAAATCATCATTGTTCATCAATCAGCAAAGGAATTCATATTAAGTGAATTGACCTTAAGTCGGCAAAGGCTACAACATGCGGAAAAAGTTCCCGCAGCAGGAGGGAAATCAGCGTCCCCACCGATCCCGTCAAAGCTGGAGAACAATATCTTCAATGTTTGCGTCCGATACCTGCTTCTTGACGAAATCAACCATGTTCCTCTGTTCTCTGATGAGCAAATGGCCGTTGAGGAACTGCCCCAAAATTTAGATCTATTCAGCGACGACAACGATGCCGCTGCCTACACTATCGATTGCTCGTGGGAGAATTGGGAGGAGGGAATGATCCGATACGATCCGGCGGATCGTGGATTCGGCGAGTTTTTCGTTTATGCCTCTTGCTACTGGATAGATCATTTCAGGTGTGTCGTAGCAGAACCTCTCCCCGATCTCAGAAGTATCGAAAAATTATGCCAAGCCAACTCGACACGGTTGCACAACTGGACTAGTCAGAACAGTCGCCCGGATTGTGTAGTGCAAGCAAGATTTGAATTCGACGGCAGCCTATACGACCCCCTGAGCATTACATCACTCTATGGGTCGGAAGAGCTGCTGCTTAAGATGCTTGAAACATCTGAATTCGAATCTCACGAGTTTTTGATCAACACAGCTTTGCTCACTGTTGACCAGGTTCTTCAATGGGGCGATTTATGTAGACTTCGAACGTTATTTTTCGGACGTGGAACGGGACGCCATCTTCAGAACCTTGACTTTTTCCGCCACATCATCGACTCTTGGCGCTTCTCCAACAAGCACTATCGTCCAGATTGGGATGCTGTATTTGAAATCATCAACGATATCCCCGACCTTCTAGTCCGAGAGGCATGGGGTAATGAACTCCTCTGCCTAGCTGCTGGTCAAGGCTGCCTGCCGATCGTTGAACGCTTGATGAGAATCGCCCAGCAGAACATTCATCTCAAGCAAGAGCTAATGTGTGAACCTCAGCGTCAGTCACGAAGCTCATTTCACCGGACTCATCAGTCTATTGGAGAAGCCGCCCTGGCCGGCCATATCAGTGTTGTCGAGTACTTGTTACAGCAAGAAGGTATTGACACACATCTTCATCATCGCAATGCGAACGGCGAAAATGTCCTACATCTAGCATCTGTGCAATGCAACCCCGCCATATTTCGGGCTTTAGCACCTCGCTTTCCGGACGGTATATTTCAAAGGGATCACCAGGGTAGGACGGCTTTGATGCGAGTTATAGAAAGCTCCTCGACTCTACAGAACCGCATAGAATCAGCACAAACGCTCCTGTACCTGATCGCAACTCATCAGAGTGCACTGTCAACGAAGGAGCAGCAAGAGGCGCTACACATAGCTGAACAAATGCACGACAAGGAGATGTGTGAACTATTGGCCGATTTCGATGGGTGTATGAAGAATACAGGTAGTGTGATATCTTGAATGATACTTAGCTGGAATCGTACCAGAACTCGACTCCGCTTGGGCTGAGCGAAGGGCTAGCGCCAAAGGACAAGACATGGCGCGACAGATTTGGAATGCAACGCAGTGGGAACTTACGGCAGAGGAGAACGAGTTTCAGAAACAACTTGGCGACAGTAGTTTCGGGAGACGCCTGTTTGCAACCAACAAGGGCCAACTTGGGCTCGGCCCGGAGTCGATGAGGGAGGGTGATGAGGTTTGGGCCCTGGTTGGAGCGGACGCGCTATTTGTGCTACGACGAAAGGAAGATGGGAGATATAATCTAGTTGGGGAAGCTTATGTCCGGGGCAATGTTTGCAGAAGACTCAAATGTTGCTGCCCAGGATATCAAGACTGTTTTGCTTGTATGATAACTATGTAGTTGAGTGCTGCCTTTAAGGTTCAGCTAGACTGCGAACACGGGTGATCAAAGAGAACGCCGTATTTGATTTCCCAGTATAAGCTTTTACCCACCAGCTTTCATGATGACCAATACAAGCTGAGTTACGACAAGCAGGGAAATATGGAGCAGATTCGAGTATGTTTCTTTCTTATCTACCTTAACAAAGCAGCCTACCAGATTTCCCATTTCTGATCACCAATAGCACAAAGTCGATTGAAAAGCTGATCTCTCCGAGCCATTGCTGTGATCAAATAGGACTTTCCATCGCTTTCAACTATTTCCAACCCATCCGTAATCTCTCTTTCCAAGGCCCATCCAGCAAGAAGTTTTGCTTTAGCTCCATATCCAGAGTATTTGTTCAGTGTTATAATTCCATTCACAGGTATCGTCCAAGTTGGCAGTACCTCGTGGTAGCTTGAATCATCAGAATCACCAACTGACCTTCTAGAAAAGCACAGGTGGGGAGCATCAGTGTCGGTAGTGAGATACACATATCCCTTTTCTCCGTGCCAGCGGCATGTAAACTCTACCGGTCCAGCAATGGATGGTTCTTCTCTGGTCGACGCAGCTCCAACCCGGTTCTTCGCTGATACAGTTCCAGTCTTTGCTCGGATCTTATTGACGCCTATGACTGTCTTTGCTGCTGCCTGTGCAACAGGCTTGACGATGCTTAAGAGCTTGCCGCGTCTTTTCCCGCCGCTCTCATGGTCAGGGTACTCATGGTCGTCACCGCCGGTGTCTTGGATAACATCAGGCTCTTCCCGAACAGCTTTTCGAATCTCCTCGGGTGACGCTCCTACTGGACGATCACCAGCTGCCGCACTGAGAATATCGCCATCAAGGACATGAGGTCCGTCGAGAGGTGGACATTTTGGTTCGGGGGATGGTGGTAGCGGGGCCTTGTTGCGTTCACCCTGTCGTAAAAGAGCTATAGTCAACTGGGAGTCCGTCGGTATTCCCCGGAATATAATTCTTTTCAACTTTCAGCAGGATAAGAATGATTTTGGAAAGGCCTCGTACCTTTCCATATTATGCTTTAGCCAGCCATAAGAGTTTCTCAAGAAGATGCTACCAAAGAAGCCAACGCCAATGCCCAAGGTAACAACTCTGTAAAACATGTAACAGGATGTGAAAATTGACAAGATCACAATCGGTAGGAGTAGTTGTATGATTCGACGCTCGGCAGCATCTCTTGTGAAAGGTGCGGTTTGATAAAGGAGACTAGTATACTAGTATGTTAGAAAACGACATGTCTGGACATATAGTCTGAGCGCGTGTAACTTACTTGGCGCTTCTCTCCCAAATATCGCAGAAGCGACAGGTCCAGTGCATCAGTGGCCTCATCTGACTCCACATAAGCTCCTGCATAGGCGACTTGCTTTTATCCCAAGAGGGTTTCTCGACTCCAGCTGCTATGTCCTTTGCAGTCGCTATCCTAGTAGCTAATGATCTTGGGTCCGGAAGGTTAACAGTCTTTCCACCTCCCCTTTGCGTTTCATCGTGCTGCGGATCTTTATCGACGAATATGTTGATAGACAGTGCCACAAGACCTGTTGCAAAGTTGCTGGCTTCCCTCTCCAAGGTTTCGCCCTTGAGGCTCTCTGGAGCGCCTGTAGCTGTATCGACCGTTCCTAGAATACCCGCGGCTGGCTTTATCAAGTGGCCGCCTTGGTAGTGGACCAGTGCAGGCGGGCACGGCGGGAATAATGTGCTTCGAATTTTGGGGGAGAGCAGGATGACCATCAAACCTGTCAGTAGTGTTGGCATGAGGAAGTTGAAATACCACGCAGAGAGATAAGCCTGAATAGTTAGCAGATGTTTCTTACATGAGAAATGATTGGCCTACTAGACAAAAACATGATGTTCGTCTTGGTTCCCTCCAGGACTGGAGTCTCGAGAGGTGCTGTCTGAACATAATGAACCCAAGTATCTAGAACTGTCAGAATTATTCGATGACCCGGACCAAAACACCTACCGCCCCCATGTAAAGTCTTTCGATTTGTGCACGCAGCTTGTTCGGAGAGAATTGCTCCTCTTCAGTAACGTTGAAATCCATCTCAGCTTCTGGGTGATTTGGGGCATGTTTGAGATGGAAGACACGCTGTTCCTAGTCAGCTAATGCTGACACAGGCTGAATGACCAACTCACTTTATTGAACCTTCGGACGAGAAGCCAGATGTCTTCGTTCTTTATGCCATCGAGAGCATAGCCCTCAGGTCGCATCTGATCATCGTCCCAGCCGACGTCTTGAACTTCTGCTGGACTGGTTACAACATCCTCCTGTACTTTATCCGCCTCGTTATGACGCAAAGGCTCATGTTGAACACTGGTGTAAAGAGTTGTGGTACCATCAGCACCGTGCTCAAGGTTGGCAGCAATGTGCCTCGTTTGATAAGCATTCTGATCCATAATGCATGGATTCTTACTTGAGGAACAAATAAGACATTTCCGCAGTGAATACGAAAACTGGAAATAAGCTCATACGGGGAGTCTTGACCCCAGGTAGCCAAGAAGTAGCGTGATTGAGGAGCTTTTCCTCCGCGAGGTTTCAAAATCTGGCTGGCGATGATCGTGGCATGCCTTTGTGTTGGTGTGGTTAAGTGCGTGATTACTCGTTTCTGTGACGTCGATCATGTCCGCGTTTTTATGATGCTGGAGGCTTAGGGTAGGGGAACGCGCAAAACAAGATCACATTAATTCCAACGGGGCAAATTGAGATGGTGTATTTGTAGCAATATAATTATAAATTAATTGACTGAGTTTTTAACGTTCAATATTGATCGCTGTATGTCTGGGTCAAGGCGAATCGTGTTATTTTCTCTTACCCAACAGTTGTATTGAGAATGTACATGAGAAGCTTTGATTGATGAGGTCCCAGTCATAATAAACAATGTTGCACCCCCAAAGCATCGCGTCTCAACAAAGACGCGTCTTCAACCAAGTCACCCTCCTCATAGACAAATGCATACTTGGCACTGTGTGTTTCCATCCAAAGGTTGCCCAAAAGTCCCTTCTGTCGGATCTTTTCCAAGATTGCAAGTGCATGGTCACAGAGACGCGCCTTCAATACCTAAGTAAGGAACGGAAGCAATCCTGGTATCTTGTAATTATTAACGAGCAACGACTATACTTGCTACGATCAATTAAGCCTTCGCTTCAAAAATCTCATTCTTCTCTAGTGCCTTCTTTCCAATTTCTACCATTTCCGCATTGGACAGCGTATCCTTACCAAACCCAGTGATCGATTGTTCAATTAATCCGGCGACCAGCTCTGTCCTCCCGATATTCGGGATATTGATGACGGCGTGCGAGAACCAACGTAGTCCTTGCTTTAAGAATCCCATATCCGGATCATTGACCATTCCTGACTTGGTGACGAGGACCTGCATTCTCCCGTCCGACAGGTGCGCGCGCTCGATGATCTGTTTCTCTACCTGGCCCTGGATGCGCTGTTAGCAATGATATGGCAACGATGGGCTTGAAGACGTACACGAAGAAGACAGTAGTCTCCAAGAATCCATGGCTTCTTTGCGGGGTCTCGTTCGGCGTTGCAACCGCTCACGTAAATGAATCGCAGGGGATCCGGATTGCCCTCGCGCGGAAGCTTTGCAAATGTGTCGGCAGCGTAGAGCGCATACTCATAGCAGATCATACGAACTTGATCCCAATCGTACTGCTTCAATTTGCCGGGTGTTACTCCAATAAGCCTGCATGGTTAGCTGGGTCATTGAGAAGCCGGCAAGACATACCATATGCAGGCGTCTGCTCCAGAGATCTCATCCTTGACATATTGCGGGTAGTTTTTAAAGTCGGAACAGGTGACAGACGTGAGCTTGGACTCGATTTCTGGTGTTTGTAGGTCTTCGGAGAGATCGTGGTCGTGGCGCGATAATGTGACAACTGAGGTGATCTGAGGGTGCAGGAGCGCCTGGCGGACGACTTCCTTCCCGATAAATCCAGTTGAGCCTGCGATAACGACCTTCATTTCGACGATAACGAGATGCTCGAGGCGCGGTTCTTTATTGCTCTAGGTAGCTTAGAAACTTCAACGACTTAAATGTTGGGAAGAAGAGTTATCGGGTCGACAAATCCTCATCTGACGACTCGAAAAGGTCCCATGCGCTGCCAATATTTATAAGACTCGTTATCGCTTACGTCGTCATCCCCAAGAAGCCTCAATTCTCCGAAAGCTACAAGATCTGCACTAGCATCGATCCCGTCAACAAACAAGCTCATGAGGCTTGTGCTATTCAATTTAACATACCAGAACCGGGAGACTGCAAGGTCCGATTCCCGGATTTACGGCGCCGGATCAGGTATCGAGCGTGAGATCCATTGCAGCAGGCATTCCACCCGCCAAGCTCCATTCTTGAACAGGCAATTTATCGGCAGGGTCCAGAGGGTTGGGGCGAGGTAAGCTTGTATTAAGTTTACACATATATCATGGCTTTCTGGATGCAAATGTGATCATTCCTGACTGTCAAAGCAGTGCGCCTCAACCACAGTCAATGATCACCCCCGCCTAGTTGATGTGGAAGTCGAGTATGCCTTGTTCAATGCAAATCCATGCAGGATACGATACCGAAGCTGCAGCGCTGTAATTCCGCTTCCCCACCTCAGCGCCTGGTTACAGTGACCGAGACACTGAGGATGGCAGGCTTCATGCAAGGCGTTCTGCTCGCCTAATTGAGATGACAGTTGCTAATTCGAAAACTTCTGTCGCTCAATGAACTTCATAATGTAACGCTTCGTGAATAGACTCGTCGCGAGATGCCTTCACTCCCCGCGTTCCTGTCTCGTTCGGTGCCAGCGTCCAGCGGCAGCAGCGGCGTAATCACTAATGCCCCTGCGATTCCCAGCACTCGCTTGGGTCCTGCAGCTGATCTGCTTGAGCATGAGCTACTCAAAATGTACTGGGAAGGAGTCGAGCGAGAATTGCCCTATTTGCTGTTGACATTCGGGCGCTGGCAATCACGTCCAGACACATCCGATTTCCTCCCAGAGGAAGAGGATGACTTTATTTACGGTTACGATACCTTTCTCGATTCAGTTTCCGATATTTCTCGCCAATTTCATGAACGCAACAAGAGAAACCAACGATCAAAGCGGCCAGAGAAGAAAGCGAAAAAAGACACAAAAGCGCCACCTTCATACGATGAAGTTCTCCGAGACCGTGGCTGGGATATCTTCGCCGACATAAAAAGCAACAGCACCAAGGGCGATATAAGAACCTCCCTCAGCGAGCGCAAACTACTGGACCCAGCCAGACGACGAGCCCGCATGCTTCTTCAATCAGCGCAATTCCTCGACATCGATAAAATTATCGAGCATCGCGAACCCGAAAAAGCACTATCGTTCTGGAAAAGACCTGCCTCCGCTCAAATACGGCTCTGGTCATATGACGATTTACACCAGCCGGTATTTGTCCCACAGCTTTGCTCCGAATGCAAGGCAACAATTCGGGGATGTACCTTTCAGGACACCAGTGACGAAAGCATTGTGATATGCGAAAGCTGTTACCGAGCAACACATTATGGCCAGACGCGCTTTGCCAAGAAATACAAAGAATGCTGTCTTCCGACAGCCTTGACGCCAGAGATCAGTCGCAAGTTGTGCTATTGCAGTACAGTCCGTCGACGCGATCAGAATGGACGGTCCAGGTCGCTTTGGCCGATTGACCCTGCGCGCGACGAAGGCCACCACTTCAAAGGCGGGCTTGGCCGTGTAGGCTGCGGACTGTACACAGTCACAGACCTCTTTGCCGAGGCAAAGTATGCGTCTACAAGATCACAGTTCGGCAAAAACGATAGTTTACTTCAGCTACGAAAAAAGGATCCTGTAGGAGGCGAGCTGCCGAAACCTGTGGCCGCCACCAGGAAGCAACCAAGTCGATTGGGACATCTCAACGAGACCTCGCTGCCAGAATATGGTTATTCTTATGGGTTCAGTACTGATGAGCCGGAGGACATTCCAATTTACTTGAGGTCGACTACTGAGAAGTACCCTTACGGGAATGTTCATATGGCTCTTCGCTTTGGCCCACTGATCATTGAGAATGGCGTCGCAAAGTAAGTCGCTCGACTCATCATCATCACAGAAGCTGACAACTTAGTACCATGGGCGGTGTCCTTGTCACCAGTCGAGATCCGCCTTCATTACAAGTCATCCGTGATCCCTCAGGAAACATCACCAAATCCCTTCTTCTCACAGGCGAGAGAGACCGTCTTCTCTACATACAGGATAGGCCGCGACACCCAAAGCGATACAAAGCCTTCATGAAACAAGTTGCCGGAGGTGCCTTTTGCGATTTCTTCGAGTCTGGCATTGAAGACGAGCTTATTGACGCCTTCATACATGAATCCAATTGTCTGACCGAGGATGGATTGACCTTTGCGGAGCAAGAAACTATGCTTGAACAGAGCACCAAGCGCCTGCTTCTGCACGTCAAAGAGTACCTCGCATCGAGGGTGCAGGCATACATCTCCAGCATCACAGCTCATCTTCTCGACCCAGAGGTCCAGCTCAAATGGCATTATCGTGACAACAATTGCCAGGCATTCTGTGACAAATTGATCGACCGCGACATGTTCGGTCCCCTCTTTGCCCCCAAGACAGCGGTGGGCCAACCGATGCCACTGTACTTGATGAGCTTTGTGTGCCGACCTGGCTCAAATGTTCCTACGCGGGCATTCTCAAAATACGATGTTCCAAATGGTCTTACAGAAGAATACCTCCTCAAGTTTCGCTATGGACGCCACGATGACTCTGACATTGTGGACACGCTCGCCGAATACTGGACAGAATGGGCTTGCCTTGAAGGGCCAATTTACCCATACCAAGATGTCTTTCCATGGGATTGTACCGAAGCATATGATCGGTATCCCGGAAACTGTGGCGACTGTAACATTTCCAAACATGTACTTGCGTTTCCGTTTGACTCTTGGTCCATCGTGTCTCTGCATCTTGCCCGAGGCCGGCAACTGTATCCAGCTAACACACATCCTTCCAGGGGCAAATCACCAGAGAAGCGAGCAAACCCAGGCATAATGACGGACACCGAGTGGTTCAAGAACCGCATCACTGTACTGCTCGGCCAAGATGTCCTCCTCACAACTGCAGTCGCTATGGCAAACTCAAGTCAATTCCGAGCATCAACCACATGGCTCACCAATCATGAGGACAAAACCATGGATAGACTAAAGCTTGGCGGCATTCATCGCGCACAACCTTTCAGTCATCACTTTGAGAAAGGCGCTTACCACCAGTACTTTGTCGCTGACTGGGCCTTCCTCGCTCAACCGTTACGAGTTGTAGAGTATGAGAAGTTCAGGGACTGGAGAGCAATTAAGGTCGATGTTGGTGCGAACACGTCAGATGACGGTGGCGGAGGAGGATGCGGCTCAGGTCCTTTCGCTTGTGGTGCGGTAGCAGCGGGATGTGCAGCGGGGTCTCCAGGAATGGCTGGGGACACCTGTGGAAGTGGGTGCGTATCAAGTTGTGGTGGCGGCGATGGTGGTGATGGGGGTTGTGGTGGTTGCGGAGGTTGAAGCATAGCAATCTACATCGATCATCTACATTGAGTCATATACTAAGTATGATGGCCCGCCCAATGACACTCATGTTTTCCCTTCCCACAAAACCACCACCGAGTAGACCTTTTCCCTATAGGCCACATACATATCGCGCAATCGACATTCCTCGGCAATGTTTTGCTTAGATAGAACTCATCCCTCATCTCCCTCATTTCTGTGAGTTTCTGCCCGTCAAGCTTGATACAGTATCGACATAAGAATCCACCACCATCTTCCCATTGCGGCTCTCGGAAGGAACAGCAATTGACATGTTGCATCTCGAGATCTTGCATGTTCCATTTCGCATTGAAAGGTGCCGCGCCGCCCTGAGCGGAGATCAGGTAACACATGGTACAAACAGCGTAGCAATGCGCGAAATGGTCTTTTATACGGGATGATCGGATTCGTTGCTTTGGGGCTCTGCAGGTCTACGACAATGTTAGCATTGGGTAATAAGAGGTCACGATTAACTTACGTTGCAGATCACGCGTTCGCATGACCAGCATTCGCTCTTATTCCCCTTGAGACACGATGCTACGCATAGCGACTCTATTCGATCCCGGCGAGAATCTGGATCCATCGATGGGTAGAATATCGCAGTGCGCATCAATTTGGATGTGAGCGACAAGTTCACCACGTCATCGTAGTGAAGGTGGCTCGCGAGTCGCTCAGCGACAACGTCGTTTTGTAGCATGATTGCCAAGGACTTTTCTCGACCCGGAGACTTCTGCGATAACAGTCGATCGATGTCATGCGGCCATCGCTTGACCGGCTTGTGCTGTATAGGGAGGAAGCATCTTCTGAGTACGATCGCTGGCACGCTTATGAAGCGAGGAAACGAGGCGAGTGGAAACAACAGAACGTCTTGACTAGCCAGAAGGATAATTGTGAACATTGTCATGATCTTACCTAGGCTAGCTCCGAATGTCCAGTCTTTGGATCCAGTGGGAATCGGGTTCCGGCAGACTTCCACGATCAAGAACAGAATAATAGCCCAGTCAACGCATAAGATGTAAAAACAGCCACGGCTTCGCTGGGACGAGTTCCATGACCCGAGGGATCCTTGGCTCTTGCATGTCGTCGCGATTATTGCGCTGACGAGAGGCCATAAGGTCAACCAGATGCCCTGCAACCGTCAATACAAACATCCCAAGCCAGGTAGCCGAAGTAGGGTACTCACGAGAAATTGACGTCCTCTGTCTAAATGCCCCAGCCTCCACCAAGGATTTAGCACGACGAGCGGTCCATACAGCCAGAGAGGGATGATTGACCAGAAGCGAAGCCGTCCAAATGTCCTTGCTGTCCTGCCGCAAATGCTAGCTACGTTGACGATCATGAGGATACCCCATGTTATCATAAAGATCGAGAAGAACGCTTTGTGTAGAGTATCCATCATTGCATTTTACTCTTAGCATGAGCGTTGATGTGTTGTGAATGTCGACAGCTCAGCTCAGTCAACTTACAGTGGCATGCTGGTCAACAGCGGAATAACCCCGCGATGATCGACGGGTCGAGAACGCCTGGGCACACTGCCCCTCTTTAGCCGGGCGAAAGATGTCTTTGTTTCAGGGCGTGCGATTGGTGAGATTGCGAAGCTGACAAGCAAGGATGCCTGAGACGTGGTACACTTTTTGTTTGAGGCGTAGCGAGGCAGTTTGGGGGCTGTCCGATTGCCCGGCGTTATTGAGCCTGGATCGCCTCATTTTGGAGCGAGGTCTGAGGATTGAAGATGTTCGCGAAGAAGCTTTACATCCTGAGAGTTGAGATATTTTCTGATTTTATCCTGCAAAATGGCTTTGGAGCATCGGTTTACCAAGCTTTCCTTGCATGAGCAGGGAAAAGATATGGTCTCAGGATCATCGCGTCCAAATAATCCAAATGGTCTGCCCTACGAGCTCGCCGTCAAACCAGAGGACTTTCCAGTAATCCCAGACCCGGGCATCTTCAACTTTACGACACCAATAAATGTCAACATCGAGCCTTCAAGAAGACGTATGGCTCTGGACTTGGCTCTGCCTACACTGGCCGAGTGCGCAGCTCACCTTGAATTCCTTGAGACGCTCTTCATCTTGAGGCAGAAGATTCTTGTTTCGAAAGAGTTGGATGATGTGATGCAGACTAAGCCTGTGAGAGAGCACAAGACTGGCTACCAGGGAGATGAGAAGACGCTCAAGGATGAGAAGCTTTGGGAACGAAGACAGGCCAAGTGGCCGAGATTCGTTGAGCTTGCTACAGTTCGCTTTCTTGCATGGCGGGATCACTTCAACAAGTCTTCGGAAAGGGAAATTACAAGAGATAATCTGCCGCCTCTTGATGTTCTCATGGTCTGGCATTCATTTCTGCTCAACCCTCGTCTATTCTTGAATACCTGCTCTAAAGAACCTCTCTTCTCAGTCAAGTTTCCATGGAAGCATACCCACCACGCCATCGATAATACAGAGTGGGCTTTCACTCTACCACCAGCTGCAGCAGCGAACTACGAAGAAACATCCGGCTTCGCACCAAATCTCTTCAACGATATCCTTTCATGGAAAGACCTTACATTCCCCACGCTTGTCCTCATGTCCCAGGAGGGTTTTGGGGTCAGTGGCTATAGACCCTCGATATACGAGAGTCCGTGTAAGGAATACTCACAGCTCTTTCGAGAGCATGACTCAGAGTTGGCGAAACAGCTCAGAGATGCTGTTATTCGTCAGGCTTCATTTGTTGATAAGATGAATTCCTTCATGTGGATAAGAAGTCCAGCTCTTCAAGCAACTATTCGTCGAGCTATTGCGCGGTATCAGAACTTCTGCAAGCTTCTCAAGATATCAAAGACCACTGTTGTGCCAACGTTGGATATTGATCTGGTCTGGCACACCCATCAGTGTACGGCCAAGCATTATGGACAAGCGATGAAGGTGTTGACAGGAAAGTTCGTCAATCATGATGATACCATTGAGAAGCCGCAGTTGGGCGATGGCTTTGGTGAGACGAGAAGATTGTATCGGGTGTACTTTGGACAAGAGTATCGTTCTTGTGGGTGTTGGGACTGTCAGGCTCTTTTGACGGAACTTGAAAGGGCTATGGAGGATGGACAAGATGTGGATATGGATAAGATCACAGCGAAGGTCAAAGAGGATGTATTCTATTATAGAGCAGTGGAGTGGTCTAGGAGACACAGGACGAGCTTACCAATGCGACGGGTCTGACAGTGAACCAAGTGCAGGATCGTATCCTGTATCTTAATTATATGTATACAATTCAGTATATTAAGTTAACTCCGACTTTAATTTAATGGCTTAATACGGTGATTTAAGTTGGCGTCTAGTTTAGCCTATCCTGAGTCTTAACATAAAGCACGGCAGTTAAAATACCAAAACTCGTATATCCAAGACTTGGTGTGAGCCGGTGACATTTAGCGCCGTGGCTTGTGAATCTATGCTGATCGTGCATTTCAGCCGCTCCTTGGCTGGGTAACACAAAACAGGACTGTGGGGCCACTCAATTGTATTTCATTTGAGATGCCACCATCTGCAGAGTGTGCAGCCTGATTTGTGACTTTGTTTCTAAGTGTAACCACACCTTAAAAATCTTCCCTGCAGGGTAATTTGTCCCCTGTAGGGAGACAAGAGACATCTTCTCAACCAGGTTCTGCGCCTGGGCAGGACCACCCAAAGGAATCAGGATGCCGTCTGCTGTCTCTTTCTTCCCTTTGGAGGTGAGTTACGTTTGTATTTGGATCAAACAACCCGTTCCCTAGCCGATACCACTGCAATAATCTTGGACTGCCGAAGATATGACCCTCATGTGCTACGACAAACCTGCGACATTGGTCTTGATCTTTCCGCTTCTAGTCATCCAGGTCGTCCTGGTACTAGCCAACCCTACCGCGCAACATGATCATGTTGCGTCGATACTGGCCAAAACCAACCGGACTGTACCAGAATATGCGACACGCTTTGGTATGTGACGAGTTCACCCATCATAATACTTAGACTGAATACTGACTCTTGATAGCACCACTCGTGTGGCTTCACTCCGAAGACCCATTTCGACCGTCAGACATTTTCGAGCATATCCGCCACACAACCCCATCGATCGACCAAAAGCCCATCCCAGACCTACCAAAGCTTGACATGGATAATCTGGCTCTACTCAACGATGTCAGTGATGAAGAAGTCGCGTTGACTTCTAACGACGATATCACGACAATGCCTCATTGGCTCTTTGGGAGCACGCCGGATGAAACAGGTCGAATCTCAAACGCGACGGCTTGCGCTGTAATCCTTGTCGAGAGAGATGCCCGAAATGTTGACGTCTTTTATTTTTACTTCTATTCTTTTGATAGGGGTGCCAACCTCACCCAAGTATTGGATCCGTTGGGCAGCCTAGTGGATGATACTGACGGAATGCATTACGGGAATCATGTTGGCGACTGGTGAGCTTTGACTCTTAAGGCTATTCTCTTGACAGATTTGACTAACACCAGTCAAGGGAGCATAACATGATCCGATTTCGAGATGGGAATCCCGTTGGAATTTATTACAGCCAGCACTCTGATGGATCTGCGTACGATTGGGGCGACGGTGCCCTCTCGATGACTGATGGACGAGTGGGTAACCTATGACTCTTGGGGCCATCAAATTGATCTGACGATTTTGCAGCCTCTCGTCTATAGCGCATATGGTTCGCATGCAAATTACGAATCTGAAGGGTAAGTGAATGTCTCAACCCAACCCTTGGTCGTCGTCCGTCATTTACCAACGTCGCCTACTAACTCAGCAACTGACTATAGTGACCACGTACACGACTATATTTTGGTAGACTACTGCGATGCTGGCGTCCTTTGGGACCCCGTCCAGTCGGCCTACTTTTATCACATGGATGCTACCACCTCGAAGCTGTCGCGCCTATTTCTTCCCGATACACCGTTGCCTCTCGAGTCTAACCTTACCTCCTTCTTCTACTATCTCGGTATATGGGGCGACGCCCAGTACCCAAATGACCACCCAAGTCAGATCACCGTCCCCATGTTCGGTTTGAAACGCTTCGTTTCTGGCCCACAAGGCCCGATTTACAAAGGCCTCGTACGGAAAACGCTTTTCCCAGACGTAGGCGAGCCCAAGCCAGTTATTTTGTTCTTTATCCGTATACTGATGGCGGTATACCCATGTTGCCTTCGTGGATGGAGGGTTTGGGTCTCTCTGGGAGTCTTCTTAGTATCTGTAGTGTCGATGGTCTACGGTACAAGGTACCTGATTAGACGATATAGGACTAAGGGATATCAGAAATTGGGTACAGATATCCCGCTTCATGACCTTGAGTCAATTGAGACAATTGTACCGCGCCGCGAGGAAGAAGTTGGTGCAGGCGGCTGATTACGACCTTGTAGATTTATCACCTTGTATAGACGAGATATTTCATGCACAGCTTGCATACGTGTAGACTGCCTACAGAAGTTGAAATAATGGATAGTGAGAATAAAGACGTAAAATGAAAGTCTTGGCCAATTATCACCGTTCTAGCTACGCACTCTACCAACGCATGCCCATCATCTGTCAGCTCTTAATAAATCCCCTGTCTACTATCAGTCTCCTCCTGGCAACTGAGGAGAAGCGATAAATTCTCTACCTGGGCCATGAAAATAGCCACCTTCTTTCATCGCTGCCTCTGAATTGCACGAGTTTGGGGTGGGATGCCGTCAACATCGATGCAACTCTGTCGTAGACCAGCCAATTCGTACATGAGAATAACTCGACAAATAGCCACACCGGCAATGTACCTTCCAACAATCATCAAGGCGTCTTTCGTACCGACGAAAAGCATGCCCGAGAAAACGAGGGTACCAAAGAGAATGTGCATAATTGTAATGGTAGATTGCCACCAAGACAAGACCAAGAACGTTTTGGTCTCTCGGAGAGTGTGGATTTTCACAACATACTTTTCCGAGCAGCACGGAAATAACTCAGTTGTGGTTATGATGTTCACTAGCCTTGGCCCAATGCCTAAAATCCAGCGCATGAAGCACATGAAGTTCTGCTCCCAGGACTTCAGAAACTTTATTAACCACGATTGTGTCCTGATTTGTTCCGACCCTTGCGGAGTAGGATCTTGTTCATAAGTCTCAGTGGCAGAGGATCCTCGGGTCCTCGACCCGCGAAGCCGAAGTCGACAGACAAGACAGGCTGCAATATGAAGAGCGATGCCAATAGCCAGCCATACTCCTGGAAGGAAGTCGGCATCTGGTGAGAAAGCACAGACGGCCCGAAGGTTGGCTTGCAAAGTGTTATCCAAGACGTTATAGCAAGCTGCCATGGTGACAAGGTATTCTGCTGCTGATATTAACAGCTGCGAGTGGACCGCCTTTGGGCGCCATTGCTCATGTCTGTTTTTGTCGTGGCTGAGGATCTCAATAGGTTGAGAGTACTCAAACGCCCTGCTAAAATATGCCGAGGGTGAGGCCAAACTCAAGCCAGCGGCAAGGAGTGGTCTTCTACCAACAATGCAAAGCATGGCGATCTCGTCGTGTGAGGGGCCGAGGAGAGCAATGATGGTGGGCATCACACCAAGTAAGACCTGAGCGCCTGTCATGGCGACCTTGAGGTATTCAGATGTGTGACTGAGAATGCACTCGACGACCGGTTGGGTGATAGCCGTGTAGATACCTCCGCCACCGAGATAGTCAATCTCGGAGTGGTTCTTAAACCCAGTCAAGTATTTATCATATTCTGCGGTGCAGTTGACCTTGATGATTGTGTCAAAAATCCATCCATATTGAGGGTACCAATGCTTGAATTGCTTGGTGGATGTCGCTGCAGCAGCGAGTTGAATGGTAGTGGCAAAAATAATAAGAAACAAGACGAAAGTGCGCGATTTCAGGTAATGGAACGACATCTTGATCATGTCTTGATAACCGGGTCAGTCGGATGGAATAGATTTATAGCCCGAATTCAGGACCTGACCGAGAGGAGAGGGCTTTTAAAGCCATTTGACAAATCAGGCTGTGGTTTTCGGATTGGCGAGGATACCTGAAAACATAATGGTGGAGTAGCTTGGCGTCTAGAAATAGTATCAAGATGTCTCCCAGCACATCTTTGGCTAACCTAGGATTCAGCTGCAGTTGCGGCTGGGCTCTGCAACCTGATGGATGACCTGAGGATCTAATGGTCAGCTTCAACATCCTTTTCACTAAGTGGCTGTTCAAGCCCCTTGTACATATCGGGTTAGCTGGCTTATGGTTGGTTGAGAGCACTGTCCGTCCAGTCAAATCCTATCTACCTAGACACGGCACCTGAAACCCACAGTTACACAGCTTTCTGTAGCACTGGCCGGACAGGCTGTTGAAGTGTTGTTACGCGCCTAACGGACCTGCCCATCAGCTACGTGGTTAGCTGTCTGCCATCAAGTCCCTGTGTATGGAGTAAGATGTGTTCAGTCTGTCTTGCTTACCCTATCGGGAGGGCTGTTATGGCTGCAAGGTTTGCACCAAAACCGAAAATGGCAAAGGACCGAGGTTGTTTTCTCTTTCCCCTAAGAGCTTCCAAAACTGTCAAAACCGGCCGTTAACACAGAGAGTTCGGGTCAGCTAGCTCCATCACCCCACAGTAGTTTCTGACATACCATAGCAATTTACCTTTTAGCTGAAATTCATACCGAAATTGGGATTTAATGGCAGCGCTGTACTAAAACATGCAGGATGAGCAGCAATTATAGCCACTGAAAAGAAAAACCTGGGCAAGCCACCGAATTTTACCCGCGATGTTAGCACTGAAGCAGCAGCTAAAGCGAAATCATTACCTTACGGTCGAACTTGCATTTCGATCTTTGAGAAATCTTGGCATCTACATTAACAGATATGCTATCACTCAAGTGACAAGCATGCCAAACTTTCTACGATAGGAGCAAGACAGCCACGATAATCCCCTGGTGTGCCACGCAACTGCGCTGCACTGTTAGCTCATGGAAGACATAAACTGCCGATGACTGAGATCTAACCGGATCAGAGGACATCGCGTAACTTGGCAACTCATTGGAGCTGTGTATAGGTACCGACAAGGCTGAGGGCCAGTATACTCCAAGAAACAGCAGTAATCGTGTGATTGGTACCTTGGGGTCACCTGCTAGCCCATCCTGTCTTTGACTTTCTCCCTTTCATTCCCCTTTCTACGGCTAAGTCGGCCATTTGGTTCCAAATGGCAATTCTTTTTACAATTCTTACGACCTTGTATTGACCCCAAGAATCTTAGAGATCTTGCTATTACATCCCCCATGTCCCACGATCGCCATACTGACTATACAATAAAAGAAAGAAGGACTGAGGTAGATTACTAGTTGTTCTTGGAAAAGGACAAATACAAAAATGAAAATGCTAAACAGGCTCTAAAATATTCTAAGATCTATAGCTTCGCCCCCTCAGCCCGTCTCTTCTCACGCTCCTTATCTCTGAGCAGTCGACGAAGGATTTTTCCGCTTGGACTCTTGGGTATAACCTCTAGGAACTCTACGCCTCCCCTAAGCTGTTTATAGGAAGCCTTGTTATCCGCAACATGCTTCATGATGTCATTCGCCACTTTCTCTTCATCAAACGACTCAGCCAAAGAACTCTTTACTACAAAAGCTTTTGGTACCTCTCCTGACCTCTCATCAGGCACCTGAATTACAGCACAGTCGAAGACATGAGGACTCGTCAGGATATGAGCTTCAAGTTCCGCGGGTGCAACCTGATGGCCCTGCAAATTGTCAGTATTGACTGCACTAGCAGCGAAGTGTTTCACGTACCTTGACCTTGATCAGTTCCTTGATTCTGTCAACAATCACAATATGCTCGTGACCAGACGGAGCCAAAGTCACGATGGCCTCGTCTCCAGTTCGGATGTACCTTCCATCTTGGTGATGCACAAAGGTCTCAGAGGTCGCTTTCTCGTTGTTCAGATACCCCAGTACAACTGACGGGGCTTGAACGAGGAGCTCGCCTGGCTTGTCATACTCGGTGACTTCGTTGCCCTCGAGGTCAATGATCTTGGCTTTGGCACCCGGCAGCAAGGAACCAGAGCCTCTTGTGAAGACATCATCTTCGCTTGAGGAAGTGACGACAGTTGAAGTTTCCGTCATGCCTTGCTGTTGTCAGTCATATTTCTTGTAGAGTTATGGTGGATAGACTCACCATACGCTTGGGCGATTGTCCAATCCGGGTATAGCTTCTTCATATCCGAAATTGTTTCTTCACCCAGGGGGGCCGCACCGCAGTAGACAAACTTAACACTACTTAGGTCGTACTTGGCGCAGATATCCTTGAATCGTAGGACTTGAATGATAATCGGCGGGACCTTGGAGGACTGTTAGTCATGTTAATACGTGTAAAGGTCCCGGATAAACTAACAACCAGCAGCTGCCGGATCTTGAACTCTTGGACTGACTTGAGGAAGTCGTTGAACTCAAATTTCGGGAGAACAATAATTTGGTCACCTCGCCAGGTGCAAGTATGAGCAGCAATAACAAGGCCGTAAATATGAGAGAAGGGCAAGAATCCTGTCACTGCTTGTGTTTCTACACCCTTCTTCCGTCTGGCAACAGAGTCGTAAGTGACATGCTGTAATACATTCGAGATAACATTTCTATGTGAGATCATCACAGCTTTCTAAGTAATATTAGCATGTATCATAGCTATGAGGGGAATGATCTTACCGGTAAGCCTGATGTTCCACTTGAGAAGCATAGAAAGGCTGTCTGACGTGCACCTTGACCTTGAACCCACTGAAGCCTCTCAAGCTCTTGAAGCTTTGAACCTTCATTGATAAGATCTTCTACGGAAGCATGTTTGAAACTTGAGGTAGGCTCAGCTCGTGGTATGTCGAACAGATAGATGTTTTCTTCTGATATGCCGACGTTCTTGGCTGCCTCAAGTGCTACCTCGAGTAAAGGTGTACAAGTAACAAGAGCCTTGGCCCCTGATGCCTTGAGTTGATGAGTCAGTTCATCAGAGGAGTAGGCAGCGTTGGCCGGAGTGGCGATTCCATTCAGTCGGTGAACGCCATAGATGGCAGTCACGAAGTCAATCTTGAGTCAATTATCAGATAGCTGCCCTCATATAAGCCATCATATACGTACTGTATTAAGAGAGAAGATGGCCAAAACCTTATCCCACGGCGTTCCCTCATTGGGCTGCCATTGAAGACGCTTTGCCAGAGCTCTTGCAAAGGACTCTGATCGCTCAAACAGTTCAGGTGATGAGTATGAGCGACCGGTAATACCGCAAGTGAATGGATGTCTGCTCTTGACAATGGGTTGGCGACCATACGCCTCATTCTTCATAAACTCAGCAATGGGTATCGAATCCGGAGGATCTTCAATATGTCAGCAATGGGCCATCATTGGAGGCACGCGACTCACCAATTGGGAGATCTGGCACCCAGCTTGGAGAAGTAAACACCATGGTGATACGAGAGCCTTGTTTTTCGCACTTTCAAACGCGTTTCGAACTATGATAGGTTGGAATGATATCGAGACAGCCAGAATGAATTTCTTATTGAAGGGCATCGGCAAACCAGCGAGTCAGCGACCTAACGTCATGAAAACAAATTGTGGTGGAGCTTTTGGCGGAGCTACACTCTTATAGGAAAACCGAGAGCATTGCCATCGTGGGTAGCGGCCACTCCCCCGCATTCTCCAGCTTATTAGAGGTGGATTTCTAAGCCAACCATAGGTTCTCGTTGCCTCGCAGAACCTCGGTAGAAATCCTACCGAAACGCGTCCGTGTCTGGGGAAGGAAACCGAGCTGGCGACAGCTCTCGGTAAACCGAACAATAGGACATGATTTAGGCTCGACTACCGCTACCTATACTCCAGTGAGAAATATCGACGTTAATCACCATATTCAAATTATCGAGCAAGTTTCATCATGGCTGTCACGAATTCCGAAAGAGTACCAGCAACCATGTTTGCGTGGAGAAAACACAAAGGAAGTCCGAAGCCGGTAATATGCAAACTCACAATTTTCATAAAATAATGCATTAACATATTCGAGGTTTTTGAAGAAGTGCCCGTTCCCAAAGTGTCCCCAAATGGCATCCTATGTAAGATGCTGGCATCTGGAGGTACGAACTGCCTTCTCTGGTAGCTTACTAAAATCTGACCAATAATTTAGTTTGTAGAAGCGACCATTCTCTCCTTACGATAGAAAAGCAAGCATCTTGGTTCCAGGAAAAGTATATCCTAGGCCACGAAGGTTGCGGACAGATCATTGAAATAGGTAGCAATGTTCAAGACAATGGACTGAAAGTGGTGAGTGATGTTCTTCAAATCTTGGAATTGATCAGTGCTGAGTGGTAAACAGGGAGATATTGTGGCTCTTCATGCGGTCCCGGGCTGTGGACAGGATGATTGCCCTGAATGTTCTCGTGATCTGGCTCAACTTTGTGAAAGAGGCCATCACTCAGGTATTGGTCAAGATGGCTTCTATGCACCATATACTGCTGTCGATATCCGAGCTGCGGTCAAAGTTCCTGGTGGCGTCAGCGCAGCAGAAGCTGCCGTGGCCACTGACGCTGTGAATACAGCCTTTCACGCCATCACTAGGAGAGGAGAAGTCAAAAAGCATGAGACTGTATTTCTGTTCGGTCTTGGTGGACTGGGTTTCAATGCTCTCCAGATTGTGCGTTACATTGGAGCAAGAGTGATAGTTTCTGATATTCGACAAGAACTGCTTGATGAAGCCAAAGCTTTGGGCATACCGGAAAAGGATATCGTTCCAGTAGGAAAACCTCCGCAGGACTTCATCAAAGAGAATGGTCTGGAAGGAAAGATTGACACCGTTCTTGATTTTGTCGGTACTCATCAGACATTCGAAGATGCTCAGCATATCGGTAAGTGAATATTTTGTTAAAAATTATATCGAGTCCTAACTAATATGTGCTTCAGTTCGTCGTGGCGGTAAACTTCTCTGCATCGGTAGTCTTGACACGGAAAACACGATTCACATGAAGATTGGCACCAGAAAGCGACTTTCTTTCATCTTCTCTTACGGAGGTCAAGTCAGAGATCTAGAGAAGGTTCTTGAGCTCATTGCTGCTGGTCATATTAGTCCACGAGTTGAAACCAGAAAGTTACCAGATTTTGAGGAAGTTCTTGGGGCATTGGGCGAAGGAAAGATCAAGGCGAGAGTGGCGTTACTACATGATTAGCTTCGTTCATAAGTTCAATTGATTATGTGTTAGTCAACAAAATGGTTTTCATTCAGTTTAGAAGGGTTCTCATCATTGCAGGATCTCAATCCAAAGCAGCTTCGCTAGATCCCTTTACGATAAGTAGTGACGATGGTGGCTCGGGTCGCGAATAAGTGATTGTCGAGAGCCGCCCCCAAGGCCAGCATATCTACGATTATACTGCAGTGATGGCCACAGAGTACCGAGCACATGACGACATCTTCGAAGCATATTATCTTGACGCAGCAATAATCACGACTGAGATGAAGCAGGAAGCGATACAGAAAGCCCTTAAGCATTAGGATACCTCACATACTGCCCCAATCTTGCTTCCAGAACCACCAGCGCCCCCGAATATAACAGAAGTTGCCTGTTTAGCCGGAATCTGGACACGAAATCTTCCCTCTGCGAAGAAGGCGGAGGAGAAGAGAGCAAATGAATTCCTTGCGATTTGTGATGCCTCGCGAAAAAGAGAACCCCTATGAGGTTAAACAACCATCTAAGTTCTTAATGTTCTAACGTGTAGCAGGAAGAGAATAGGGGGACAAGATTTGGAGGTCCTTCAAGAGGCGTGCCTAAAAGGCGCCACTGCATATCTCACAGTTATCCCAGATATCGACCTTGGGTCCCAATACAAACGGAAAGACGTCAAAGACACAGTGGCCTCGGGGAGCAAGAAAAAATCGGGCTTTGATACAGGGTATCAAAATAAACTCTGGAAAGGGAATCCTAAATCTATACTTGACTTATCCAACATTTATCCAAAACTTATCTAAGATTCATCTAAATTTTATCCTAAATTTATGCTAAGTTACCTAAGTTTTCTTTTTCATTTAGGATCAAGGTTCTGAGTTTTCTTTCCTCACCTAGAGTGGGTCATACGGATATGGCTGAATTCAAAACTAGGTAGACCAATGTTTTGCAGAATTTCAGGCCAAACAACTCCACGACTCGTACTGGCAATGCAGTATGAAGACATATAATCGCGAGGGTTCTATCACAGTACTTTGACAGAGACTACTCGAATCCGTCTAAAATGGCTCATTGGGGAGTGGCAGCCCGTTCCCCAAGTTCAAGGCGATCCTGAAGTAGTCTTCGTTGGCACTTATAAAATGTCTTGACGATTGATTAAGCCTATCCAGGTAGTAGGTCTCTAGCAGATGATTAATATCTAGTCATTCATGTAGATCTGATTCTATATGTAAGCATTTGGTTATCTATATCAACCATTAACGCTTGCGCCAGCAGGCAAGCTAGTTCCAACAGCAGCAGTTGTCCCAGCATCAACTGGCAAAATAGCTCCTGTAATCCACCTTGCATGGTTACTCGCCAGAAACACAACAGCACAAGCAGCATCCCAAGCTGTACCCTCAGTTCCGAGTAGACTCCTTGCCTTTCTTGCCTCCCTGGCTTCTTCTGACATACCCTTTGCGTACATCATTGGTGTATAAAGCATCTAGCAAACATTAGCTCAATCCTCTTGCTCTCGAAGGCTCATAGCTTACTCCGGGACAGACACAGTTTACTCTGATGCCGTCTTTGGCGTGGTGAGCTGCCATGGCTCTCGTCATATTGACAACAGCTCCCTTTGCAGTTGGGTACAAGAGATGAGGTGTACCACCCTTCAAGCCGGCTACACTCCCCATATTGACGATAGATCCTTTGATCTCACCATCGTTCTTGGCCATTGCTGGTATGGCATACTTTGCCATCAAAACCATGCTTGAAACATTCACTTCAAGACCCATCGTCCACTTGGCCATATCCACGTCAATGGCTGTCCCGGAAGCACCTGCTATGCCTACGTTGTTGACGAGAATATCCAGACGGCCAAACTCCTTCAATGCAAGAGCAACGGCACTTTCGCAATCGTTTGCGTCTGTGACATTTCCTTGTGCCGGTATCGCCTTTTTGGAAGCTGCACTTTTGTTGGCCATATCGGCTGTCTTTGTTGCCCACTCTAGATCCATGTCGAGACATATCACATTGCAACCCTCGTTGGCCAACATAATTGATATGGCTCTGCCATTGCCAATACCATCTCCAAAGCAGCCTGCGCCTGTGACGATGGCGACTTTGTCCTTTAGTGAACGAGACGGAGGTTGAGTGGGTATCTCTGCCATGGCGGTGTTTGTTTTTAGATCACTGATAATTTTGTATTATGAAATGATATAATCTATCATCTCATTCACAATATTTAATCATGCGGTCGATGTTGAGTACTCCTTCCTCCGGTACTGTCGTGCGGCTTTCCTAATCAGGAATTGCCAGAGTTTAATAACTCTAATTCGACTTCATTTTGTGGGGTCGCGCCGAGGTACGACGGCAGGAACGGGGACGGAATCACATGGCTACAGCCAATTACGTGCTCTGAGGCTTTGATACCCCTCAAGCATGTGTTTTGTTGAGGCGAGTTAACAATTGAGATCAATCAATATCGTGAGTTATTTGTTCAATCACCGTCGAATCTTTCATCATGTGCGACTTTTCGGAATATGGCCCCAAATCTGCTGAGTGGCTTGCGGTAGAGGCAAGTCTCCCGCCTCCCCCAACTTTCGCGGATATCTATGAGAGACAGGCCGTAGTGAACAAAGGTCGTGAGGAGATATCTGCGAATGGCATGAAGGAGCTGGGTCACTTGGTCCGCATGAAAGACTACAAGATTCCTACCAGAGACAACTCTTCCATAGAAGCACGAAGCTATAAGCCTGTCGATGCTGCCGATGATGCTCAGCTGCCGATTTACATCCACCTCCATGGTGGAGGATATCTGTTCGGTACTCTCTCCTCTGAAGATGCTATCTCTTCGAGAGTCGCAATTGGGGCAAAGGTTACGGTTGTTAATGTGAACTACCGTCACACACCGGATCATACATTCCCCACAGCTTGGAATGACGTCGAAGATGCTTTTTACTGGGTGCACGATCATATCGATGAGCTTCAAGGCAAACCTGACCAGGTTGTCATTGGAGGTATCAGCGCTGGCGCTCAGTTAGCCGCGGCCTTGACTCTGGGACAGAACATCTCTGCACCAGATATCCGCCAGTATCCCAAGATTGCTGGTCAGATCCTGATGATCCCAGCTTTGGTCCACCTCGACCACTACCAGTCTCAACTTGACCAACTCACTAATCCCTTGGTCTCTTCATATGTCCAGAATGAAGACGCACCGATCCTTCCCAAGAAGGTGATCGACTTCTTTACCGGAATGCTCAAGTTTCCGGTTCCTTTTCCAGATGCTGATGATTTCCGAGCAAACACTGGAAACGCATCAGCTACCCAGGTGAAGGGACTTCCTCCTACTGTCTTTGGAATCGCTGGGGCCGATCCTCTGCGGGATGAAGGACTCTTGTATGGCAAGAAGCTTGCTGAGGCAGGGTAAGTCAGCAGTCGCTGTTTTGGTTACCATTGAAACTGACATCGAAGCAGAGTCCCAACCGATATTCACGTCTTCAAAGGGTTACCTCATGGCTTTCGTAGGTATGGGGACCAGTTGAGTGAGTCTAAGAGATGGGATAGAGTTGTGGAGGAGGGAATTATTTGGGCCCTCTCGGGCCCTGAGGCTAGACAATTTGAAGTCAAAACCGCTTAACTATCTCATGTCTGATAACCTTTAGGGTCACGAGGTTTTGGAATCTGAATCGGATAGGTGAAATAAACAATAGAAGGTATTCAAATATCTCCCTAAACTTATCATAAGATGTTCTAAAATACTCTAAAATATTCTCAAGTATCATAAGTTTTCCTAAGCTTAGGACATGGTATCTGCTTATCATTAACTTCAAGGTGAAACCCTTTTAAGCAACCAGTCTCCCAGTAACACGTCTTAGGCCTGATTCCATCACAAGCGATGATATCATAGTAGCATTTAAATTCTAATAGACCCTATCCTCAAGCGTACCTCAACACGAAATCTGAATAATCCCTGCCCTTGACCTCATCGCATCTCTTTCGATACCCCGGCGCAGGACCATTATATCTCGTCATAGATCTCTTCTGCTTATGAGCCAAGTTCTTGTTGACACCGGTCATCCACGAGTCAACTTCATTGGCTAATAGACCCTTTCCGCATTCATGCACATGTTGCGTCCATTCCTCCATTCCTTTATCAGTTGCTTCAGCACTGATGATCTTATTATCACGAGCATATCGGATAAACTCGGCAACCCAGTTCGCTGCATACTCAATGGACCTGGAGTAGCTGGTTAGTACTGATAGCAGTAAAGAAAGTCGGTGATCATACCTAGGAATATTTCCAAACATCTGATGAGGACCCATAATCATAAACATGTTAGGAAAGTCCTGGACTGTAAGTCCCAAGAATGTCCTGATGCCCTCAGCCCAGACATCCTTCAGCTTCGTCCCATTGCGGCCTTCAATATCAACCGCATTGAAAGAGCCAGTGACAGCGTCAAAACCAGTAGCGTAGATAAGAACATCAAGCTCATAAAACGCATCTCCTGTCTGAACGCCAGTCTCTGTGATCTGAGAAATCGGGTCTTCTCTAATATCAACCAACTTGACATTTGACTGGTTGAAAACTTCAAAGTAACCACTCTCAAGAGGAACTCTCCTTGTGCCGAAACCATGATTCTTGGGGATCAACTTCTCAGCTACTTCTGGATCATTGATTCTTGCACGGATTTTATCGGCGTGGAACTTGCTGTAAAGCTCGTTCGCCTTGTGGTCTGTGAAGACATCTGAAGAAACACTGAGAACTTTGGCGAAGCCAGGCTCAGCATAGAGCTTCTCCCATTGCTCTTGACGCTCCTCTTCTGTCATGGAGAACACACTCCTGCTATCACCGACATGAATGAAACATGCGTATGATTCGGCACATTTGCGGAAGATTTCTGGGTATCGTGTGCGGATCTCATCCATCTCTTCTGGGCTGATCTTCTTGTTTCGAAGTGGAGCTGTCCAGTTTGGTGTCCTTTGGAACACTGTTAAGTGGCCAACCTTATCTGAGATGGCTTGTATGGTCTGAATTGCTGTAGCACCGGTTCCAATAATGCCCACTCGCTTTCCGTTCAGAGCAGAAGCATCGCTTGGCCATCTGGCTGTATGCCAGGCTTGTCCTTTGAAGTTCTGTACGCCGGGGATGTTTGGTAAAGTTGGTTGGTTGAGAATGCCCATGGCGGTGATGAGATATCGACATGTGTACTGCTCGCCATCTTCTGTTTCCAGTAGCCACGAGGATGTATCTTCTTGAAACTTTGCCGATCTCACACGTGTATTGAACTGCATATCACGCTTCAAGTCAAACTTGTCCGTGAGATACTGAATGTACCGAAGTGTTTCTGGTTGGGGGGCGAAGTGCTCGGTCCAATTCCACTCATCCAAAACTTCTTGTGAGAATGAGAAGATGTATGAGTAGCTCTCTGAATCAAACCGGGCCCCAGGATACCTATTCCAGAACCAAGTTCCGCCCTCTCCGGAACCTGCTTCGATAACTCGTGTCTTCAAGCCAAGTTCCCGCATGCGGTACAGACTGAGAATACCACTGAGTCCAGCACCAACGATAAGAACATCATAGTCTAAGTTGCTGTCTGGTGATCCAAATGCATCACCGCGAATTGGTTGTGCTGAAGGCATTGTGAAGTTGTGTAACGATGATAGTAGATTGGTTGCCAGATAGAAAAGTGGCGTTGTGCTGAGGTATGACAAAGTTTTAAAGATCGATGAAGGTTGCAGCACATTAGGTATCATGAGGGTTACGTCCGGCGTGTCGATTTATGCCCGCGGGTTTATTCTCCTCTGTATGCATTCCAGGGATTCCTTGTCGACCCCGCACATCCGGGGGCTGTAGGCTGGGGTATCGTGTAACCGAGAGCTAAACTTGAGGCTATTCCCGCCTTTCCCAAATAGGATAACCAGCCATTGCCGAGTCATTTGACATCGCGTAACGCTAGCCAAAGGGCGTCCGATACTCGGACACGGGGTTGATAAGAAACCGAAGTTGTTGAATTGATGGCTTGCCAAGCCAGTAGAGTCATAATCCAAAGGGGCTTGTGACACCTGTCAGAAGTAGTGCATTTCAGGCCGGCAATCCAGATAAAAGTTGCCCGATTTCAAGTGGCCGACGGCTCTATTCACGGTGACTTCTCAAATCAAGATAGCTCAAAATATAGTTGAATTGAACTATTCACTAATTTAAGTTGTTACGATCTAGTCTTTTCGTCCTAGTCCTTTCGGCTTTCCAGTAAACCCTCAGATTCCCAGAATTTCTCCAGATCGCGTAAGAAAGCCCACTTCAACCCTTTCCCAAACCCTTTTTCCTTCCAATCATTGAGACTCTTTGGGAAGTGAGGAACGCCATCGCGGACGGTGGAGTCATGGGCAACAACCACAAAGATATTCTCGTTACAGTCTAGTTCCTGCAGCTGTTTGGTAGTCTTAGAAGCAAGTTCTAGATCCAAACCAAACGTCAAGTCAAAGAGAGTATCTGTTGTTTCTCTTCCTCGCGACTTTTGCAATCGTGCAAAAGCTTCTCCGGGGCAGAGAACACCGTCTTCATGTGGATGGCATGGATGAGGGCTGATGGTATCTGGCACTGGGAGAAACTTGGAAGGGCGGAAGATACCTGCGTAGTGGCAGACATCTCCCCCCATGAGAATGAAAGTGTCTGGGGAAGTTGCAGTCCTTGCTAGTCCACATAGGTGACCAACGGCATGCCCGGGACTGTCGAGGAGATAGAATGAACCGTCTCCAAAATAGTCAAACGCGGGGAACTGACCAATCTTGAGAGAGTCTGGGCCTTCGAAACTAATCTCACGCAGATTACGATTCCTACCAATGGTAAGCTTTGATCATCCACATGTTTTAGGACTATACGTACGCGTAATCGCTTTCTTGGATGGGTGATTCTGGGTTCGCCGGTGCTCCTGGCAGCATTGCATTTTTGAAGCCCGGTCCAACGACAAGATCTGTGCGATGAGGGAAACTGGAGGGATCTCCGATGTGATCCCAATGCCAATGGCTAGATAGTTCAGTAACTTGGACTTTCAGCGGGTTCTCTCGGTTTGTGGAACTAACCTCCATATCACGGCTTCAATCTCAGTCAAGGGAACACCATTTTCCTCCAAAATATCCGCCACATTCCCCGCTACTTCGATAGTGTACTTGGTAGTCGGCAAATACTTGACAATGGACGGTGAGTAATTGTTGTAATCCTTTCGAATTCCTAGGTCAAAGACTAGCTTCCTCCCAGACTGGTGCTCAATGAGGAATGATAATGAAGGTGAACTCTTGAATGTCTCTAGACCAGGAACAGCTGGTGCCATGAACCTCTCAAGAATCGCAGGTCCAAAGTTGACGGGGTTAATGAGCTTGACGGCTTTGATTGCCTCGCCATGAGGAATCTCAAGTTGCGGTGCTTTCTCCATGTTGTCTTTGTTGGGTGTGACTTGAGAAACTGCTAGACCGAGACAAACTTGCTGCTTTTACCAATAGTTTAACTTAAATGTTCTTAGGCTGATAACCCCACGTTGAGTCAAGATCAGAATGGCACAGATGATTAGAAGATTTTGAACTATACAAGCTCACGCGTCAAGAGGTTGTCACCCCGCAACAATAGCGTCGGGTCCAGGCCATCGGCACAAGATCGGCAAACCAAAAACAGAAAAGCCTGCCAAGCCCATCCAGCACAAACAATCCACCCCGGACTCTACCCCAGAATTTTACCCCGTACCATCCAGCGTCAAAGCAAGATTCAATCAAGATAAGTATCGAGCTCCGATCCACTCGAAATGCTCCATCATCATCTTCACCATCATTCATCATTTAATCAACAATGTCTGATTCTGAAAAGGGCGCTGCTATCAACCATCGAGAGGAGGCAGGCATGACTCCCAAGCAAGGAGTCGAAGTTGACACCGTCCATCAGGATGAGGCGATGAAAGTCCTTGGGGCCTATTCAGGTGATGAGGCCTGGACTGAGGCGGAGGAGAAGAAGTTGCGCCGCAAGATTGATTGGAAGCTCATGCCTGTTCTCTGTGCTACATGTAAGCTGCATGATCGTCGGGCAGGGCATGCAAGCTAACGATATACAGATGGACTGCAGTACTACGATAAGGCCATGCTATCCCAAGCTGTATGTCTATTATCTCTAAGCTTCAAGTCGTTGCTAACATGTGTTCTCTAAGGCTTTGTTCGGACTCAGAGAAGATCTGGGTCTTCTCACTGGTGATCGATACTCCATGTCGGCTGCCATTTTCTATCTCGGTTTCATCATTGGAGCTTATCCAGCCATGATGCTCGCTCAGCGGTATCCCATCGAACGAGTTGCTTCCGGCATTGTCACACTCTGGGGTATCTGCCTCATCCTGACTGTGGTCTGCAAAGATTACAAGACACTCTACACTCAGCGGTTCTTCCTCGGCCTTTTGGAGTCAGGTATATCTCCGATGTTCATGATGATAGTCGTAAGTCTGTTTGTCTCATACCCGTTGATTCCTTACTTAGCCTTTCTTAGGGAAGTTTCTATAAGAAGAACGAACAGGCCATGCGCATGGGTATCTGGTACTCTTGCACCGGCTACGTCTCGATCATCTCCCCTATCATCAACTACGGATTCGGTCAAATCAACGGAGGAGTATCCTCTTGGCGATACATGTACTACTTCTCTGGTGCTCTCACCATCGTCTGGGGCATTATCCTCGTCTTCGTCCTCCCTCCCGATCCCGTCCGTGCCAAGGGCTTCAGCGAGAGAGAACGATATATCTTGGTTGCGAGACTCAAGACCAACAACTCTGGTGTCCGCAACACTCATCTCAAAGTCGCTCAGATCTGGGAACTCCTGCTTGATCCCAAGTTCTGGACCGTTTTCTCCATTGCTTTCTTGTCTATGATTGCCAATGCCCCTATCTCGACTTTCGTCCCTATCATCATCCATGGTTTCGGCTTTAGCACACTCAACTCCCTGTTGCTCATGATGCCTTGTGGCGCGTACGCTGGAACACTTCAGCTTCTTTTCCCTTACCTGGCGTACAAGTTCAAGAACAACAGGTCCTATCTGGTCTTTATTGCTCAGATGGGCACTGTCCTTGCTGCTTTGTTGCTCTGGCTTCTTCCACTCTCAGCTACGGGAGCCCTGCTTTTTGCAGTGTATAGTAGGTACCTCATTGAAACGATCCGAGTTTAGACTAACCCGACAATAGTTCTCCCATCCGTCGGTGGCGGTTATGCAGTGTTGATGGGGCACCAGATTGCCAACACTGCGGGATATACCAAGCGATCCGTAGCCTCCTCTGGTCTCTATATCGGCTACTGTCTCGGTAACTTTGTTGGTCCTCTCTGCTTCAAGAAAGGAGACGCACCTCGCTTTGAGCCTGGTTTCATTGTGGTCGTCGTTACTTCCATCATAGCCGGTCTCCTTGCTCTTGTTTACCGTGGTCTATGCATGTGGTCCAACAGCAAGCGCGACAAGGCTGGTACCACTGAAGGATTTGACCATGCATATGAGGATGACCTCACTGATAAGAAGGTAAGTCGTCTGTTTTCACTCAGGGTTTTACATACTAACCAGTCAGAACATGCAATTCCGCTACATTCTCTAAGTGTCAGGGTTCATAGGTGTTCGTCGAGGTTGGCTCGGAATGGATCTAGTCTTTGTTTAGTAGTCTATGAGTTTTAATTGACGGTTCATTAACTGTTCGAATGAGATACATCTTGACCAGTATCCCAATGCCTTCATAAAGTAGTACACAGCACCAAGCTGTCTGTTGTGAAATGTTCGAACGTCGCTGCTGTGAGCCACCGAGGGCTGGTCAATTACATAGGGACACGGTCAACGAGACCAAAGTTGGAGGTCTTGAACAGACGGGCTGCTAAGTGTCAATGAGTATATGAGATCCGGGTTAAAACTTATATGTGAAATGCAGTCATTCACACAGATTGTTGCCTATCCTGCCGAACTGGCTTGTCTGCCCCCATGGTGTTTGTCCTGATATTTGCAGGCCCAATCTCACAATTGCGAAAGCTTACCCTAAAGCATCGTTGGAATTTGGAAGATGACCCAAACTTTAGTATATAATTCCCTAAATGATCATAAGACTTAGTATTTTATTCCTAAATAATCATAAATCTTTGTAATTGTTACTAAAGCTTAAGGCCTAAGTAGAACAACTCATCATAAAAATGAAGGATAGCTGTGTTCTTCCCCCGACGTTAGAGGAGGGACGCGTCAAACCCCGCGCGGGCGAAAAATACGCCGCGAACTTGATCTCGGTGGAGTAAAGTTGCTACAGGCGTCTTATCGCGCTAACCCCCGCTTAAACAAATGCATCTCCCCTGCCCGTTGCAACCTGAGCCACGACCTCGGCTTCTAAATCTGGGGTTAGTCTGGGGTCCAGAGTTAATCTCGCCTTGAGCGTGCATCGGCATTCAACCTCCTCACCCAACCCCAACCTCACGCAACAACCACTTCTCTCATCCGGCAATGACAGAACTCGTCGGCAATTGGCTCCACTTCAGTGCTCGACAGCCGAAACGAAAGCGTGCTGAAGCTGTTTGCTTCTTTTGCCATTCCAAGAAGATCAAGTGCGATTTGCAGGTCGGTCTCCCCGCTCGCTTCGGGGCTGGGCTTTGAACTGACT